CAATTCCCCCATTTCTAGCTAGATGCCCTCACCCACATGACTCGCATTACAGAATGTCTGCTAGAAAAGTGAGAGGGTGTGTTATTACAGTACCATCACTTAACACTAGGCAGTAAATGATGACCCGCCATGTGACAGAAAGGGAATGAATCAATCGACCTACAATTCTCCTGAACTGTGCACTTCCTGAGACAACTGGTAGATACTTATCTGCTAGTACAGTTCCCAAAGAAATCCCTTACAGCAATGGACAGCTTGGTCTAATGAAGACCATTAAAATGATTAAAAGAGCCAAGCACCCTAAATAGAGCTAACGAACCTAACTTAAACATGGGTGAAGAAGGAAATGAAAGAGCAAGACTCAAGGAAGGTTATTATAAACATTAGTCACTGATTAAAAGTTAGTAAGCCACAGACTCTTCTCAACCTAAAGTACGGAATGGATGGAAGATCATAATAATTAAAAAAAAAATCTGAGTCATAAGCAAAAGATATCCATGACAAATTTCTCGGAGAAGCACAGCTTTCCAGTGAATGTGGGAACAACAAAACCTCTCCTGTCACACTCCTGTGAAACAGGTGACAGGATTCCTGAGGAGTTGGCGATAATCAATATCACCTGAGCACAAACAACTCCCAAGAAATCCAAGAGAAAACATCTGGACCCCATAAAGAAACTATTAACTGTCTTCAACACAGCAACTACCATGTAAAAGTGGCCAACAAAATGGGTGTACTGTATACATGAAGGAATGCACAGCAACCTCCAGAGCAGACATAAAAGACCCATCACAGGACAAAAACATGCCTTAACACTCAGACCCAACCAATGCCAACAATTTAAATACACAAGGGTCCAGTATCACTAAGCTGGGCTCCAAGATACAGAAATAGCTAATCCTAGAATCACCCATCAATGTAGGCCACGTAAAATTAGCTTTATTTGCAAACCATCAAGTCTCCTATTGCTGTTCCTCTCCTCTGCTTCACTTTATACTTCATCTGCTGCACCAACCAATATCTCGTTCATTATATTCCACCCTCGCTGCTCCCTGGAACTTTAAGGTATGCCTACTGCAAATGGAACTAGAGAACAAATACCACGAGAGTTACTGGTACAATACCTGCAAAGGCCATGTTTCAGTGGTAGCTCTCTGGACTTTCAACCCAAGAGAGACAAACTCAAATCTCATGGCCAGGCAGGGTTAGTGAGGTGTTACTTGCTGTAATGTACGTTGAGCGAGCCATCCACCACAACAGACCATGTATATGAAGGATGTCAAACATGCTTTTTAATTTCATTTTGAAATACTGGATCGTGCATTGGATCGTGAATACAGAACTGCATCTTTAAAGTTGGTCAAATACACTAGTAACTAACAATCACAGGAAACTAAAATCACTACTTAAGTCTCTGCTCAGTCTTAATTGGTGGCTGCCTTCAAAAATTGTGGGAAACAGTGTAAAGTGGAGAACCTTTAGCACAATCTATTTTTTTCATGCAATGTAATGTACCGGTACAGTACAGTATTATGCTAAACAAGCTCTCTAGAATTCTGGAGACGTTCACCCAGGGAAGGAGAGAGCAGGTTACATCACAGTGACATCAATAAGCCTGTTGACATTTTATTTTTTATGATATTGTGTAATTCCACAACATAAGGATGTCTAAATGCTTATATACCTATTTCAATTCAACTTCCTGTTCAAAAGGAAGTAATTAAGATAGTCCAGCATCATAGCAATATACTGTACGATACATTACAGGATGATAAAGAAAAACTATAAACAGCAAACAGACTCTGATAGTATAGCATGAGTCTAGTGTATTGTGCTCAGAGTTTTGTGGTACAGTACATACCAATACATAATATATACCCTGACATGACAACTCTTCTCACAGGAACACAGCACAAAGGAATCCATCTTTTCAAATACAAAAAAAAAAAAAAAAATTGAAATTATATATACCCCCAATACAGGTACTACTTCTTTATGAGCTAAGAAACACAGAATTGTAGCATTTACATAACTATCCCAGAAGAAGATATATATTAACCCTGGTATAAATCAAGTTAGACACACACATATAGGACCAGAGATAATAGTATATAACTGTGGTATATTAAACCTAATTTACCTTGTAGCAAATCAAACTGAGATGTTAAACTTCAGGTCCTTCAAACTTGCGGCAATAAAAGTTAGCTAAACCCGGCATAGATCGCTATCCCCACAGTTCAGTCTGCAACAGTGCCTCCCCCAGAAACACTCTCACCGACCGACAGGGATGTTGTTGTCGACAGATCCCAAATATACTGAAGAATCTTATCACACTATTTCTTGACAACATTCAGAAGTTTCCCCACAAGACTCACTGAATTCGATAACAATTGGATTTCTTTCATCACACTGTGCCCCTCACTCTAGGAAATCACCATTTTTCCAGCCACAGACCAAACCTAAGGAGTATTGTCCATGCATACAACAAGACCTGCCTTTCACATCCCAGGGAATAGTTACAGTCAAGGTGCCTTCAAGTCTTCCCAGCAGTTGGTATATTTGCCTGCATAAATGACAGGTGAATGTTCTTTGTACTTTTCCAGTTCATATTGGCTTTAAAATGGGATGTTAGTACAGTAGACAGCAATATGCCACGTGAGAGTACCATAGGCAGGTGTGGTAACTGGGATAGCTATCGGTACCAGGCAGGGAAAGATGGGTTTGGTGGTATGGATACAGTAGTTAGGTGGAAAGGTGGGCGTGGTTATGTGGGTAACTGGTGGGCATGATGTTGTGGGTGGCAGGTGGGAGTGGTGTGGGTGGCAGGTGGGAGTGGTGTGGGTGGCAGGCAAGTGTGGTAGTGTGGGCGGCAGGTAGGTGTGGTAGTGTTGGTGGTAAGTGGCTGGTAGGTGTGGTAGTATGCATGGTGGGTAGGTGGCAGGTGAATGTAGTAGGTGGGTGGAAGGCGGATGTGGTATTGAGGGTTGCAGGTGGGTGTGGTCCAATGTGTGAGGGCTGGGAGAAAGGTCACCATTAAGACATTCAATAATTACAAACTAAACTTTAATCAATATATTGGGTAATGCATGTTACTGTATGATACATAAGGTTGGCAGGAAACTACTTTGTGTACAAGTAGTTAATTTAATAAGTGACCTTATACCCAACAGTTAATGTATGAGGTAGAAAAAATGGGGGATTGGATGAATGTAGCAATAACATAAGAATAACCAGTTAAAATTAACTGGGAGAGTTTCAATACAAGTTTTATTCTCCCATAACCCAATCAAACCTCACCTAGTCTTACATTACCACCACGCACTGGTGTACTGTACATTATAATGTATTGTAAAAGTTCAGACTTTAACTAAACAACACCTCATTATACTCATACAAACTTAATTATTAGTGAGTACTGTACCTGTACTGGTACATTTAATAGTGTACAGTACAGTACAGGTAATGTTTGATATAATTTATCTCCTCACTTTTCAACCTCAAAGCCCAGACCACTTACTGTATGATGAGTGGCTTGATATCATCTCACATTATATAACACATAAAAGAAAATATTTTGCAGTATTTTAGGAAGTTAGTTCAGCCAGTGTTTGGTTCATTTCTATTAAAATTTTCACACACCTTTATTCTTTAAAAAAAACATTCACAAAACTTACATCATCTACCAGAGCTCAAACTGTGTTTATGTTAAGGCTTGATTTTTCGTCTTTGGTATTAAACTTTATTTTCTTTAATTTTCACAAGGTGATAAATGAAGTTTGGGGTTTGTTGCATTAATAGCCAATATATTTTGTTGATTTATTAAATAGTTTTTCTGAAATCATTCTGTTACTTCATTATCAGACATTTAATAGTTCAATACCGAACAGTACTTTCCACACTACAGCATACTATCATAAAACATTAATTAACCAGAAAAGGAGATCCAGCAGAACTATTGTTGACTGGTTAAACCATTAAAGACCACAGGCAAACAAAGCAGCCACCAACCAAAACAAACACATGTAAAACACACGACCTTTAGTTTCCTGTGATGGACATACGGTAGTTTTAATTGTTAGCCACTTGGAGATATTAACAGAAATATTAGAATAAACTGTATATATCAAATCCACATTCAAGGACAAAAACTTATATCAAAACAAAGTAGGTTTATTGCCCACCGAGTGACAGCCTCAGCTACAATGAATATAAAAGTACTTCCCTAGCACCTGTACTTTATAAAACACATAGCTTCATCCCCTGTACTGTACTCGCAACTGAAAGAGGGTGTCAATGAATACATAAACTGTAAGCTACTGTTTAAATAGCAGGATTAATATTTCCGATTCATCAGTTATTCATTATATCCATTAACTGAGTCTACAGAGGAAGAAGGTTATTGAGAAGCTGTCAAGAGGCTGGGGGGGAACCAAGTCAGACATAAAAAGTAAGACCAAACTAATGAGGCTTTATTCCAGTTCATTATTACTGTAGTGTTGAACAAGTAACCACACAATGACACGTAATTATGACAGAAGGTGAAGGGTGGGAGATATTGCATGACTATTATAAAAGAAAGATCCAATCACACTAACATACTCAGTGTAAATTTTTCCGATTCATAATTTACTCAAAAGTATTTAATTAACGGATCGAATATAAATTATCAAGTGACAGGTAGGTGAGATGAAGGTTGTCAAGTGTCGCTGAGATGGTTGACAGGTAGTCTCTATGACAGGTAGACTCACTAATTCATCATTTATTCATATTTATCTATTCAACACGTACAAAAATGGTTATATTGGATGAGAGGATGAAGGATGTTAAGGTGCGGTGGTGGGTGGTGGTGGAGGAAGCGTGTGTCCATTATGAGAGACGCTGCCCACACTCACATCTCTAACACCCTCACCTCACTTTATTCTCACTGGTATATACTCCAAAAAAAACCAACTTGACAGATTCACTCAAGACACAGATGAGAAATAAAAAAAGTCCCTTACCTTTAATGCATTGAGGTCGATGTCATCCAAGCTACAGTTCACAGATTGAGCCATTTTGATCTAGACAAAAACTTAAAAAAATGCTCTTAGATTTAGATGCTTTTACACATAACTTGCATCTCTACACACAATATATACTCTCCTTCATCATTGGGTACACATTAAGCACCTTTTTATCACTTCAAATAGCAAATAAATCCTGTAATTGCACGTAAGCTCCACTCACACCCAGCACAAATGGCGATCTGTCTGTCCCTTACACCCCTGACTACTGCCATCCTGGATATTACCTCCATATTTTTCTTTTAAAACTAATAATCCTCCATTTATTATCTCATTTTTTTATTTAATCTTAAGTAAATAATATAGTTAGAGTATAAGTTCTTAGATATAGAAGGTAATATATGGATGTTAATACAATTTAACCAGGGAAGCCAACCTTATCAGGGTGAAGTTTGATACAAGTTTTTGATCATTAAATAAGATTCGTCTTTATATAATGATATTATTAAAATTATTATGTTATTTTCCTTTATTATATTAGTTAAAATTGATTATAAATTAATCAAAACCAATATTATGGTGTGGAAACATGTACTGTTGGTAACACTGTAGGGTGCGGTGAGAAAACAATTATGACAAGAAAAAAAATAACATATGAATTTCGGAACACAAATTAAAAAGTATAATTCCATGGTATAATTAATCTCTGTTTAGATAGATTATTCAATTATTCCTCACGAGAAACATTAAATTGGTACACCGATGGTAAAGCGCACTTGTAAACATTTGATCATCCTGACAACACTAAACAAACTAAACTAATACAAGGAGCCTCAACTAACATCAACCTCTATATTATGTGGGAAAACTTCCTTAATTTGTGTGTAATTTAAAGTTCCATATTAACATATTTTTTGCTTTATTTCCATTGTTGGTAAATCTTGATAGAAACAACATTAACTGTACCTTGTATTTATATTAAATATTGTATGTATCTTCATACTTGTATAATAAAGATATATAGTTTTGATATTAAACTTCAAATTACACACATAAGTAAGATACGCAAAAATATTAATATCAATGGTAATTTTGGTTATTAGTTTACCTTGTTTTCGATGTAGGATTTAAATGACAATTAAAATACCTGCCCAGGAAACGTTTGCAACCTCTGGGGGAGGAAACCATCATACATACCATACTATTGGTAAGAGAAGTTGTATATATGTTGGTATTAATAAGTTTTTAATTTATTTGGTTTGACGCCGCCAGTCTGGACTTTAGACCCAGTACATGCCAAGTACTTGCCAACAGTGTGTGATAAAAGACCTTACCGACCATCCAAGTGGCCAACGAGCTGATCATATACATTGTAAGTAACTGTTAAATAGGAGGAATAATTTAGGACCCAAGACACTGCCTTTAATGCCTCATCGGTCACCACTTGCCATTTATCCACTTGGTAGTAGGTAGTAGGCAGCTATCAAACAGGGAGGTACTACCGCCTGGGAAGATATTGGAAGCATAATGTGTTGTCTAATGGTAGTGTAGGGTTATGAGATATTGGTTCACACTCAGGATGGGTTGGAGAAAGGAAACTCACAATGTGCTCACTGTATACATATTGTATTGGATTTGCAATGCAGCTTGTTGCTGGGTATGCAGCATGGTAACAAGCGTTGAGTAGGGAGAGTTGGTTGGTGAGGGTGCCCAGAGGAGCTTGCGGCTTGAGGGACGCCAAGGTCGCCGGCGGGAGCGGGAGCCACCAGGCTGGCGCGGAGGAGGAGGTGTTGCTTGCTGGTGGCACTGGGTAGAAAGAGACTGGTCACAGCGGTGTCAGGTCTTATAAGGCGGGGGTAGGCGTGGGTAGATAGTTGACCCCCGCTCCGACAGGCGGCACTGGAGGCGTAGGCTGGGGAATTCGAGAAGGTTCGGCTACTCACCGACAAACGGCGCCTGTAGGGGAGGAATCCACTACAGTAGACCCTGCTGCCATATGGCATCACAAAAATTGTGACCAAGTCCCAGGTTGCTGATCTGACTTTCTGCCTCATTTACACACAATTGCAAGGTCTTAATTGTTTCTCTTACTATTGACAACACAACATACATATATCATTTCTCACTAATGATCTCTTTTTTTAAATTTCTTTATGGTTCCATATTATTATTATTATTATTATTATTATTATTATTGCAATGTTTTCAGTCTTATTATTGTTATCATTATTATTTTATTTTTATTTTTGTATTTTTTTTATAAATTTTACTTATCTGAATTATTATTATTATTACTACTACTACTACTACTACTACTACTACTACTACGACTACTACTACTACTACTATTACTACTACTACTACTACTACTACATTTTCGCCCCCCAGGCCCTGAAGTGGGTCAGTGACCTGTGTCCGGGTGGGCTAACACCCGCAAAAAAAACAAAAAAAAACACCCTTATCGCCATTCCCACTACACACACTATACAGTCCGTAAGTATATTGTCACAAATTGAGAAATAACACCACAATACAGTAATATATTGTTCAAAACACATCAAAAACCATTGGAAGAAGTCTGGATATCTAACCAAACCTAATGTAACCTGAATAATTTGTGACGGAAAAGCTATATTAGTGCTTAGAATTGGCTAAACTACTAATACCAATAGGTAAAATCGTAATATTTCCCGGATGATCGTAACTAAAATAATACCATATATCCCACATATTGCAGGAGTCATACTTGCATTATGGAAGTACTGTATGCATGTAGACATAATATATAGTTATACATTTACAGTACAGTACAGTGGGGTATATGCTATAACGAATCTAATTGGTTCTAGAACCTTGTTCGTTATAGCATTCGTTCGTTATAGGATTAATCCATTCCAGGCCCCCAAATACAACCACTTAACACTGAAAAATATAATATAAAATTGTAAAAATTGTAAAAAAGTGCATAAATATGCATCTAAACCCCTGAAATAAAGAATATCATTAATATTTGTAATAAAAAAACAATAAATTAGAAAAAAAAAATTTAAATAATGTTCGTTGTAGGAGTTTCGTTCGTTATAGCATTCTCAATTTTATAGGTAAAACCGTTCGTTATAGGAATATTCGTAGTAGGATCCGTTCGTTATAGCATACCCCACTGTATATGGGTTCAGTAATATATATGGTAAAATTTTAGGGAACAGACCTGAAGTTATTGTTAGCTATTTTGTAATTTATTTTGCCATTTATAATGAAAAAATCAATATCTATAAACTACACTAGTATCTGTATTCTTGGATATATAGTGTACAGTATACACTTAATATATAATGTACAGTATGTGTTTGATGGGTTTATATTTATCTGTCAGTATTACCGAACTCACCAGTTGGCCTGGCCTGAAGTGGGAATATGTAGAATTTACATCTCTTTCAGCTTGTGTGTGTGTCAGTCATGAGGATCAACAGTAGAATCAGACTTACTGGTGATAAAGTCATTCTTGTGCCATATAAGAAATTACATGTGGAGAAATACCACCAATGGATGCTCTCACCTCACCTGCAGGAGCTGACTGCCTCTGAACCACTCACCTTACAAGAGGAGTACCGGATGCAGCAGTCTTGGTTGAAAGATGATGACAAATGTACTTTCATAGTGCTTGATAAAGGATTGATGACGAAGAAAAATGATGAAGTTGAAGCTATGATTGGAGACACTAATCTCTTTTTAGTTGATCAAGAGGACAGGTTGCTTGCTGAAGGAGAGATCATGATAGCTGAACCCACGTTTCGAAAACAAAAACGTGGCTGGGAGGCAATGTTACTCATGTTCCGTTATGGAGTGGAAGCTCTAGGAATTGCAAGATATCAAGTTAAGATAGGAGTTAGCAATACCCCAAGTATAAACATGTTCAAAAAGCTACATTTCATTGAGGTAGCCAGATCAGAAGTTTTTCAGGAAGTGACTTTGGAGGTGCAGGTTGATGAGAAGTGGAAGGCATGGTTGCTGGAGAATACCAAATACTATAGTGTAATCCCAGATGAAAATGCAGAATAGGTTTTAAGTGTAATAATACTGTAATATAGTTGAATTGTTAAAGTCTTTCACAGGGGTATCTTTTAATCTTACTGGAGAACTTATACTGTATTCATCTAAAGCATATGAAGTATAATATAGTTACCATCCAGTGTAATACTGCATTATTAAATCACAAATATTTTAATGACTTTTTAATATTATCCCTAAATGGTAGTTATTTTTATTGTATCATGTAAATCAATTGGCCCAGGCTTGCTCTACCCTCCCTAGTCAGGGGTGTGAGGCTAAAATGAAGAGAAATCGGTAAATAAGAAAAGAATCTTTGAATGTACGTAGATGTGATGAGAATCTTAAGAAATAAGAAAGGGGAGAGTGAAATAAAACCAAATGTGTGTTTATTATGGGAGTTAAAGGTGGGATAAGCTGGGTACTTCAAAAATATTCAAGGAATTTTGAGAATTTAGTTATTACCAAATACCTGGACACTATGTCTGTTTCAGTCTCACAGCTCTTATAACCAGTGACCCAGCCATCAAAGGCCCTCAATATGTTAAAACAAAGATGAAGTTGGTGTAAAAGTTTTTAATTAAGTACAATAGAATGGTATGATAAATATATCTCAAGCCACTGTGGTAGTTCTCTTGTTCTCACCTGAAGCATCTCAAATATTCATTTACCTCTCATGAGGACAAATTATCGAGTACAGTACTGGATGTAGATGTTAAATACTGTATTAGGACTCGATAACCAACATATTGAGACAAACCTTGTACTGTATTTATTACTCTTATATAAGTGTGGGGTTTTCAAATTGAATAAAGTCAAACAGGTGTTTATTATTATGAAGACTTATTTTTTTTCAGTCATTCGACAAATTGAAGCCATGTGTGAGGTGACTATAAGAGAGGGAAGAAGGTGTGACAGTGAGGCGATGCTGCAGTTGATCCAAAAATCAGCAAAACATCAGAATCTTCCTCCTGATGCAGTCATCAGTGCCTCAGGTAGAGAGTGGTGTCTTGTTTATGAGGTAAATGTATTAGTTCTATTTCATCTCTCAGTTGACCTCTTCATCTTGGGTCTACTTGCAGTTGGCAACCTTATCAGCCATCACAGTACAGTACAGTATTTAGTACTGTAGCTCATTGGTTGATGGTTGGCAAGTTATGTTACTGTATCAACAAATGCCTCAAGAAGGTTGAACAATTAAAGAGGAAAATGTGAGACATACAGTGAGAAAAGCATTTTAGATAAACAGATGTGGCACGAGTTGCTGACGAGTACAGCAGTCAAATATACACTTCAATATTACTGAACTTCAGAACATGAGATGAGAAGCAAAACTTATCTAACACCTGATGAGGCTAACAAATTACAGTATAGTGTTAGCTTGTGGAATTGTTTTACTGGAAGACTTCAAATTATAAGATGAGAAAAATCAAACTTCTGTATGTAAAAAGCATTTAACATTTTCGAAATTTATTCATTATATTTACATACCTCATTAATTTCAGCTTTTGAAGAAGATGGGTGGGGAAGCTTTACTGCTTTCAGATCATTTGTTGCTGAAATGAAAGATGGCTCTATAGTGGGCTATGTGCTCTACTACTATACCTACTCTACCTGGAAAGGACGTTGTGTTTGCATGGGAGACCTTTATGTCTTTCCAACTCATAGACACAAAGGCATTGGCTCCAGACTGTGGAAGAAGGTAGCGAAGGTACTGTACTCTGTTAGGATTGTAAAATTTGATAATTCTGTTGTCACAGAGTAAACATTAATACTAATAAATTTTTGGGGACTCTTTTTTCCGTTATGGCACGGAGGGCGTGGAATCAGGAGGAACATTGAGGCTCCCTTTTTTTAATATAATTTGTTCATTCTATCTGTAGTTACAGTACAGATGTGTTCTGCCATAGTGGTTCCCCAAAACACAGACCCATAATTCCTATCAGGAATATATTTGTAACATGTTTTATAAAATTAAGTACAGTACAGTATTCCTTTTATCTTGCACAAACTTGGACTTGCAGTGAGAGCTGGGGCCCACCGTTAGGGCACAGTTGGCATCCAGTGATGCAATTCATGTGTACTTCATGACATTAAACTATCATCTGTGGGTCAGGAGTTGTCTTGGAACACTTTGCCTCCTCAACTCGTTGCAGAAAAAATCATTAGAACAATAAACAGTAATGATTAGATAAGAAAATTCAAGCATTGTACTTTTACAGGGGTATATCAACAATTACCTATTCTATAGATACCAGATACTCTCTCACCAAAATCTTCTCAAATGCTATAAGCACTATCAATCTGTAAAATGAGCGAAGAATATGAAACCATTCCGAGATGACACGCCCCATTCTGCTCATTCTCAACATCCATGATGCCCAGGTGTTGGAGAAGTTTTTGTTAAGAGTGTACAGGCACCAACAAAAGTTCACTACCTCCCTGGGCCTCCCAAACTGAAACAATATCAGCCCCAAATGTGATAAAACAACAAACCAGACAAGTCAGGGTAAGTCAGTTTGGAGACTCGCTCTTCTGACTCGTCCTTCTACTGGAGGTGAAGTTTTGTTTACGTCTGTACTGTACAGTACCATACCTCCACAGTCAGTGTTCTGATGAGCTACACTTTGTACTGTCATCACCATGCCTAATCCATTGGCCTATGAGAGCATCTGACAGGGCCCATGCCTTTTCTGTTGAAATTCCATTTTGCAGAACTGTGGATTACCCTCTTAGAGATTGCATTTGTATGGGGATCCAAGATCAACTTCTTGAATAGAAATAACCCTGTATTTTTTTCACACTTCAGACTGCTCTTGATGCAGGTTGCTGTCACTTAAATATTACATTACTGAAAGACAATGCTCAAGCTGTAGCCTATTGTGAAAGTCAAGGTGCAATGAACATCAGTGCAGCTGTAGACTGGTGTTTTTTTAGAATGAATCGTGATGCAATGGAAGCATTTCTCAAAACGTAAGCAATAACCAATGTTCTATGTTTAATAATGAATGAAACTTACCACTACATTTTACAATACAGTATGTTATTTGAATATTTTCTTATGCAGGAACTGTACAGGGAATTTATTTTCATCCATTTTTAGGGACAAGACTGCCAGTGAAGTAGTTGTCCGTGAAGCAACTGGGAAGGACTGTGTTGGTATTAAGAAACTTATCCAGGACTTGGCAGACTACGAGAACATGCCTGAAGGACCAAAAATTGGTGCTAAAGGTATTTTTCCTTACTGCTTCATGATTTTTATAACTTTCTTGTTCACTATGAACATACCAAACTGTTTTTATTTTTATATGATTACAGAATACAAGACTTAATAACTCATGGTAAAAACAGAATTTGGATAATTCACCTGATATTGTTAGGACAGATTTTTTTTGTCATATTATGCAGGACTCCTGTATATGAAATACTCCTGGTAAATACTGTATATTTTTTTTTTATATATTCTGTAAAATACAAATATGGCAAACCTTCTCCATCCTGTATAGTTTTTGTTCCCTCTTAAATGGAGCCATGTCTTACCCTCAGGGGCAGCACCAGGCATGTTACTTTTTTATATTTTTATTTAAAGACAAAACATTACTGGTGTTATTTTTGAGAAACTCTAGAAAACTATTTTTTTTTCATACAGAACTACAAGAAGATTCTTCTGGTGAGATACTTTTTTATAAGGCATATGTGGCCGAGGAAGTTGACACCTTAGTGGGTTATGTCTTGTTCTTCTACACTTATTCTTTGGAAGGACCAGGTGTGTACATGGAGGATCTGTATGTCAGTCCTCCTTACCGTAATCAGGGGATTGGTTCAGCTCTTTGGAGAAAGGCCATTCAGGTTGGTGAATTTTGGTTTAACGAAAGTTTGATTTATATGAATATGTCAATAAAGGATGACTACTTGTACAGTACAATCATTGTTTATAAGCAGTTCAATCTTCAGAAAACTGGGAAATGAGTGAAAACATACCTTATACCAGATTATGCTTGTCAGACTGTGCCACCATGGACAGTAACCCCTAAAGTGATGTATTTAAGGATTGACATCACAGCACATCATGAGATGGCATGGCTGTATTATTAAAGGAACACCATTTACTGTTATTAGTAGCATATAATCTGAAGTCCTGAATAGATGTCTACATGCAAGTTGATATTTTCAGTGTGATCTACAGTACTGTATTGCCTCCCATTTAGGTCATTATTATTCCAGGCCAGTATTGATGTTGGAGGAAAAAGGTGCGACTTTGCTGTATTAAGCTGGAATACTCCAAGTATTGAATTCTACAAGTTAAAGGGAGCTGCCAATCTAACAAAGGAGAAAGGTTATCAGTTTTACAGAATGAAAGAAGACGAGATGAAGAACTATGCTAATGAGTAATATGTAACATACAACCATATTGATCCATATGTGTTGTCTTCTCTGTGGTGGTGCTAGTGTAAGTACAGTACAACATATGAGTCCGTATGGTACAGTTTCATAAACCAGTGTTTCAGATTGGATAAAAGATTGTGGCTGAATATTTCTTCATAAATACGTGAAGCATTTTTTTTTCTCTTTTAGGACTATAATTTCCCTCATAACTAATCTAGCTGTTTTGTAATATTCACATGTACAGCCTTATGCTATTGTCCTCCTGTATATTAATGCTCTATTTTGTATTTTGGAATACCTTAATAGATTGAGGAATATTAGATCTTTTTTTGTATTACCCTTCTGTATGGCTATATCTGGTATATTCTTGTTGATTCTGCTACAGAATTTAAAGCACAAATGTTTTCCTGGTTGAGGACAACAGTATTCATTGCCACGTTTTAATCTTCCTGAATTGGTTCTGATAAATCTCGAGTTGATCCTCTTTCCGTTTTTTTTTATTATTTTGGTTACCTTCCTTTCCTACAGGCAGCCCCCAGACAAAACAGTAATATGAATCCTCACACAATTCCTGGAGGTTCTACTCTGTTTCTTTTAAGCCCTGACACACCTGGCTTGCACCTGTGGCAAGTTACCAGATGAATAGAAATTTCAAAAGATTTTGTTTCCGTAACTATAAATCACCTCCAAAAGGCTGCTCCTCAATTCCAGTCATGGGCGTTTGAAACACCTCACTTCATCTATTCAAAGTAACGTGTACTTTTTTTGTTTTTTTACTGATTTTCTATAACTTTAATTCACATTTACTCTTAACGTTTTCAGAGTACATACTCTTCCAAACTCCCTAACAATTCCAACTTTTCTGAATTTCCAACTTGAGCAGCAGCAGGATCTGCAAATGACACTTTGACTACCCTCCCATATCCCTATTTCCTAAACTTAGAGAGATGAAAAAAAAATCTACACACTGACAAATGCATTCATTATACTGTACAGCCAGCTTTGGGGATGATCCACCACCCAGAGCTCCAATCCACTGGTGCTTTCACAGGCCTAACTAAATTGTATATGGACCTGCCTCTTACTACCCCATCCAGGTAAATATGTAACAGCCATAGACACATTGCTGAGAATAAGTTTCCCACTTCCTGCCACTGTACATCACTCTTTCATCTTGAGAGATAAAAATCATGCCAGCACTAGGACACAATTTAGAAATAATTCAATCACATACAAACAAAAATTTCACAATGAGGTGGATCAAAACCCAAGTTATATAAAAATTTATATTTGAACAGGTATGAAACAACTCATGGATGGAGATGAAAATCAAAACATGTTGAGGAATACACAAGGAAGTGGAAACAACAGGTTTACCAAGAAAGTTGGCAACTAATCACATAAACTAGTTCCTGCTTAATTTAAATGCAGCTGTTCAATGTTCAGCAACACTTACCCAAAATGAGCCTCCCTTAAAACTATATGTACAACTCAAATAATTTTGGGATATTTCATATCTAATAATGAACAGTTCCATTCAAATAAACTAAGAAAGGGTAAAGAGATGAAAAAAGATACATTAAGGAATTTCCAAGGAATGAGTTGGTAAGCAGATCAATGGTACAGGTACCAGCTGCCAGCCTCTGCTAGGCTATGACAACATGATAAACAAGGAGAGTTATCAGAACATCAGGTTTATTCCTCCTCATCTTCCTCATCCATTTTTGGCGGTGGTGTGGTAATGGGTCGTCGAAACAGCAATATATGTGGTTCTGGCAAGAACATTATTTTTAGTTATTAACACCTCAAATAATTCTAACTTATCTGTGTACAGTATTCTAAGAAGCAAATTTCAACCTTTACCTTAGAAAAATGAACCCCCCCAAAATGGAACTTCCCCATGAACTATCAACAAGCCAAACACTCATGAGCAAAGACCTATTATAATACTCTCACACCAAAAATAAAAATAAAATGACTGATTCATCAAGTAGAAACCAAAACTGAAGATAGGCAGATATATACACTGTAGTTGTGACACTCTTTATATATCGCCTTAATTCTCCAGTAGGAGGTTCTAAGATTCAGATATCATGGAATCCGCTTGCTAGCAGCCCCAGCCTTCCATAAAGATTAAAGCTGAGAATATTTTTAATATACAGTGGTCCCTTGGTTAACGAACGGTTCGGTTAACGAATTACCTTCCATAAGAATCTTAAATTCGGTTAACGAACAAAAATTCAATTAATGAAATCCTTACGAAAATCACGTTTTGTTGTGAGCATCAGCTGATGGGGTACTCTGCCAATTCAGTAATCTGTTCTATGTTTACATTCGTTTACACTGGAGTAAATATCAATAAAGTTTGTGCTCTTTAATATTTTTGCATGTTTTATATTAAAATTATTAGTCATTTTAACATTTATTTAACATATTGATAATATATGCAGTACAGGGAACTAGTTTGTTGTGCGCCCATCAGATGCGTGAGTCGGTCACAAGGCGTCATTTGAGTTTTGAAACCAGGGAGAGAGCATCTATTTTGTTGGTGTCTTGAATATTTTTGCATTTTTCATTGAAATTATTGGTCATTCTGAACTTTAGTTAACATATTGATAATATAGAGCACAGTGCAGTGTTGATTTAAAGAAAATAATTTTGAATTACACCCAGTGAACTTAAAATTTTATTGGTGAAATGACTGCATTAAACATGTTTCCCTGAAAGGTGATTTCTCCTCTATCCCCACTTCCTTCTCTTCTCCCTTTTCCTCCACCCCCACTTCTAATTCCCATCATCATCATCAACCAGGAGCCTTCTACATACACACCTCAAAGTAAGTGTACTTTACTGCAGTTTTGTTTTTGCTTTGTATGTACTTTTTGGTGAGCTGGAACCAATTACCCAATATCCCATTGAAACAATGGATTCGGTTAACGAACGACCTTCTGGAACGAATTGTGTTCTTTAACCGAGGGACCACTGTATTCTTTTACTGTACAGTACTGTACGTATAGTGTATGTAAAAAGTTTGCACATGCAGTAAATAATTTATTCAGCCAAATCAAATAACTGCCTGCCGCTCTTTGTATAAACTTATCAGAATACAAAAATTTATCAGTTCCAATGAAAATGAACACACACACAGTACCTCAGCATTCAGCAGAAACCGATTTCTTCTTCACTTCAGAAAGCAATTGAGTACAAAACATGGTTTGTTTAACTACTTTATTTTTCAATTATGGATTTTGATGGACGAAAGTGCTATAAATGTACAAACCATTATTTTTATTTTTTTACCAAATAGTATTAACTGTAACTTTATTAACAGTCACCTGTGGTCAGTAAAGAAATACCCTGTATATAAAAAACATTAAACTAGTACAGATTGCCCTCATTTCTGCTGGTGGTTACACCCCTAAACAATACTCATTTCTGTCGTGTATCTAATAAGCAAAACCAGTAATGATGGTTACATGTTAGAGCAAGAGTATGTGTGACAAATATTAATAAATTGTATGGCACTGTATGGCCAAGTTCAGTTTTATTTATAGTATTTTTGGGGGGGCTGTACAGTACAGTGCATACTGTATGAGCAAAGCTGATGGATCATTAGCCCCCTTCACAATTCGGGCCAACATAGGAGTCTATGATACACTACTGTACTGTACCTGTATTTTAAAAATGTTCTTGCTCTCAATTCCTCGCTGTTCTATGTTTATTCAGTTCCTCATTAACCTATTTTACTTCAAGATAGACAGTACTGTACCTGGTTCATGAATCATGTAGTGGACCCAGCCTTGGCTCTGCTGTACTCCAAGACTTCGCCATTCAGATTCTGACATCAGATGTGTCTTGGGAACGAGCTTGGACAAATCCTTGGGTAACATAACATGTCTGAAAAACATGACAATTGAATGAGTTTCAATGTACACTTAAAAAAAAAAAAAATAACAGTTATGGGGATCTGAAGAACATATTTATTTCATAGGAATACAATAATACTGTAATGTATCTGACAATAAATCATAATGGGAATGTGTTCTCTAGTTTTTCTAATAAACAAGATGCTGCTGCCACCTGCCCACGTGAGGGGAGGACGCTATCTTTGCGTACAGGAGTAGGAGGAGGAGTTTCACACACAAATAATAAAGCTACTATATTCAGTTTCATACTCATTCTATATAAGATGATGATATATTTAGATTAGAATGAACACAGTAATAACATCCCCCAAAACGGACAATTATTAATAATTCTGTAGTAGGATTTGCAAATTTTGTAATAGATTAATACAGAGGAATGCAGCGGTGGCTTCCAAGCAGAAGTAACAGTACCATCATCTTTCTCAAATACACCAACACTTGCAGCGAGTGTTATTACTGTACAGAATTATTATTAAAATTTATCGAAAACATAGACTAGCTTAGGATGGAAATATATTACTGTATTCTTAATAATATTGCTATTGCCATATTTTTATTTTATGTTAAGTTAAACAGGAAAGATTTTAATCAATAGGTTTGTATGGGAAGGAAGGAAGGTCAGTCGGTCATTTGCTGGCTTGGAAGCATTTGGGGTCAGTCTCTGTGTAGTATTTGTCAATATATGCACAAGCATGGCACCATTATCGGGAAAGCAAGTGGGAGCAGTCTCTTTACGGGAATTTGGGAAAACCTAAATACAACAAGGGTTATTTCTCGACCTAATTTGTTTTACACTTGAGGTAAGAAATAAGTTTTCTTTTACAGAGATTTTTCATTAGGTGGCTGGATAACCTGGAGCATTTTGTCCTTAAATATTACCATGATAAATGTTCTTACAAACAAAATCCCAATCACTGCTAGTTTAATGATGTCTTTCTAAAAACATTAACCCAAATATAAATTAACTGCCCATCACCCAATTATGTCTAAACACCAAAATAAATAATCATGGAAATTTTTATATCAACTTAACATAACATGTCTACATATACCTGAAAAATATACCCAACTAGACAAAGAACATTACAATAGAGCAACAACGAACAGACAAACAAACTCAACCGTTACTGAGCAAGAAAAGTGATAAATATGATCAATTAAATAAATATAACTATACGAAGGAAAGAAACAATAAGTATCCCAATTTCTTCACATTGGTTGGTGTGCAGGTGAGGGTACAGTAGAGGTGTGAGCTGACCAGCCACTTAACGTACACTCACCGGCACTTATTTCCTCCTCTAAACCTTCACTCACCTGTATTCAAACTTCTCGTCGTAGTATTTATCCGAGTAATAGATCCTGTGAGGCATAGTGGAGGCTGTAGCAGGTGGGGGTGCGAGGAGAGGATCTACGCTGTTCACCACGACTTTTAAACTTCATGTGGCGGTGTTGTGGACGTTTAAATTACCGTTCTGTGTTCTCATTGGTCCAGCCCGTGGCGGGACCTTTGAAATACTAAGATGTGATTGGCTAGCTAGAGTGTAACAGTAATGGCCAGGCAACATGACCAATGTTTAATAAATTTTACGGATGAAATAAATGACTATACTATTTTTTTAAAACAAGATGATTCAAACATGAATTACCCCAGTGTCATGTAACTATGCAAGAATAATTTTGAGTCAGCTTAGGTTTGATTCCTTTTCTAACAAAAACTGATATGCTAGTGATCGATCGTGGTACATAATATTGTTTTAACAGGAATTTTTGTCATATTTCTAACCTTAAACGGTGATGGAATTTAATAAGTAATAAAAATTAAATTACGTATCAAAATGATGAACATAAGTAAGGGATATACATTGGGAGGAAAGACTAATGAGAAGACACGGTTATCAATGCTTAGGTATAACCGATGACGTCATTTTACCTCTATGACTCATACAATATATATATATATATATATATGTACTCACCTCTGAAGATAATATATATTATCATATATATATATATATATATATATATATATATATATATATATATATATATATATATATATATATATATATATATATATATATATATATATTGATATATAGATAGATAGATATATATATATATATATATATATATATATATATATATATATATATATATATATATATATATATATATATATATATATATATATATATATATATATCGCCCTTTCGGACATACGTATTGTACAGTACATTACATACCAACAAGTACACTTTTCATGCTAACAAGTTAACATTACATTGTTTAATAATCAGATGAAAAAAGTTGGGGTGCTATTGTTCATATGATTCTTCTTTTCTACTACAGTACAGTGGTTATTTCCTTCAGTGGTGGCATTAAGGGACTGCAACTGCTGGGGAGCCTCAAGATATGAGGGACACCCAAGCAACCAATGTATCCCTTCCACAGTTACAATGAGCATAGCTTGTTGTATGTCATCTCAATGAGCAGAATCTGGTTTTCTGAGGCTACACAATGAAGTTACTAGATTCACACACTGGAAACTTTCTTGATCTGATTCAACTACTCACCCAGTTCAACCTCTTATGGATGAACAGCTGAGAAAGGTTTAGAGACAGGAATTATCTGAGCATTACCTGAGTTGGTGCATCCACACACATGCACTTTGTTGGCTTTCTGCTCATGGAGGACACCACAGGTAATAGCTTGTGTGAAAACCTTTTAAGCCATTGTGAAAAAGTAATCTCAACCTTACATACTGCAGGGAGTAGTCTTATAACAATGAAAGCAACATGATAGGATACAAGTAAGTAGCAAAGACAATATTGGAAATTAATGAGACTATTTTATACACACCTTGTGGTAGTCACAGCCCCAACCTGGCAATTGCTGATGCTGCAAAGTCAATAGTGTTCTCAGCGAGTCTTTTTTGGGCATTTTACAGCATTTATATGCTCTTTGCAGTTCCTTTGTACAGTGCTGGTCTATCCTGAAGAAATAATTACTAATCTAACCATCAAAGAAATATCCACAACTAGATGAGAATGTCAAGTTAACAGTGTCAACGTGCTCCATTATCAAATGAGGAAGTAGTATATGTTGCTCTAAATGCTCTTACTAAATATGTAGTTAAAGAAAGAGATATTGAGACAGTACAGTATCTACATTACCAAGAATATGCTTCAGGTGTACCAGTCCCTATTGCATCTGGAGAGCTTAGCTTTTCTTATCTGAAAGGACTACTAAAGATCCATTAAGACACAGGACTGGTACAGATTCACTTTGCCTTTCTCTGGATTATGATGACATTATCTCAACATTTGTGACTGCCAAAACAAGACAGGTGCACTTCTTCTTACTGCAGCATGGGTAAACCCAAAGGTACAGCATGTTGCAATAACAGATTTCAGTACACCAGAATTTGTTGTAAATCTGAGACACTGATAAGGGAAATGCTCGTCATTATTCTATTTGCCATATGTATAAAAGTACTGTATGCTGTTAGAGAGGCCTCAAATTACTAATGCCACCCCTTGTCTGCTTGTCTCTACAGTATTCTTACATCTGTTGGATGACACCAATATTTAGTTGAGGGTTCAGAGCCTCCCATCACCACACAAAACAACTAATAACTATCCAGGGTCTTTCATTGCGAAGGACAAAATATATAATAAATAAACAACATTCAGGAAAAATACTGATTATTGATATTTCTAAAAATTTTGCTGTACACATCCACATATCACATTTCAACACAATCCATGTCCATCTATCATATTCACAATATGTCCAGAAAGATGGACAGTCAGATACAATACTTCCTTTCCCTGCCACTTGTCTTCAGTACGGCAGGTGGCATCAACATATGAACTAACGGTGTGAATGCATAATATGAATAAAGGTGAATGAGAAAATACATCAAAACACATTTACTGGATGCTTAAGATAGGTATGGAACTGACAAACAACACATTCTTCTAGTTACAGTACAGTGGTCCCTCGGTTAACGAACGCCTCGGTTAATGAAATTTTGGTTAACGAATTACCTTCCATAAGAATCTTCACTTCGGTTAACGAATTCCTTACGAATTTTTCCCAACATGTTTTTGTCTGCTTTCGGCTGCTCACCAGCTGTAGTATTAGTCCTCCAATACAGTAATCAGTTTTAGGGCTTAAATTCGTTACCATTTGAGTAAATATAAAGAAGGTTGTACTATTCAATAATTTTCCAAGTCTCATATTAAAATTTTTAGTCATTTTAACAATTATTTAACATAATTGAAGTACAGGGAACTAGTTTTTAGCGTGCCAAACAGCCACTTGACTCACCCAGAATGGCGTCAGTTTGTGTCCCTGCTCAGAAATCCCATTGAAAAGATGGTTTCGTGTTAACGAACGACCTTCTGGAACGAATTGTGTTCGTTAACCGAGGGACCACTGTACTGGTGGTACAGTACATGGTTGAACTTCAGTACAGTATATCAACACAAATTCTAAGCAATATTGATCAACAGTGTTTATTTTTCGTTTTTTAATGAGGTGTTATAGTCCATATATAATTGGCATTGCTTACAGTCAATAAAAAAAGTATCAAACACCCCAACCATCCTGCCATGGGTAAGAATATGATACATCGTGCAAAAACTGTAAACGTACACCTGTATACACTAGCGTCAATTGGTTGTTACCGCACATTTTCTATTCCATGGACTTTAGGGTCATTGATACATATTTTACTGCTGTACATTATACATTACCCTTGTTCATATAGAGTAAACAACATATCAATTTAGGATGATTTTTATCTTGCATCAACATACTGTATTCATTCACATATTGTAATTAGTCAAGAAACTGCATATTTTTCCTTCATCTTACATTTATCGAAATTTTACCATTGTACTGTCACAAAATTTCCTAAACTAAGGAAAATTATTATTTTTTTTTTTATGATTCTTCTTTCTTAGAAGTGAATACATTTTATTTTTAACATATGAAAATTTTAATTATGGAGATGTTTGTATAATAACTTCTTAGTGTCTATGAACTTTGTACATTGAATGATGACAAAAGTGTTAAAGTATCATTGCACCTTTTCATTTAACCAGTTCTACATCCATTAGCTAAACAGGATATAAATGAAATTCTCTTGACCACAACTTCTTTTTAAGTCAGTACAGTACATTGTGCACAAAATACAGTAATTTTTATGTATGTAGCCCTCAAGAATGTTTGTGTGTACGCATGTTTGTGTAATGATTTTTAATTTATCTCTCAGGTACTTTGTCTTTATAACAGGTTTGTAGCTTATACCAGTGTTAATCTCTTATGTCTTATACTCTTCACTTCAAAGGGAATAATCCTCAATCACTCAGTCCAGAAATATTCCAGCACTTTCAATGGCAAGTTTTCTCCTCTTAATGTGTGGCCTCCATCCCATCCACCTGTTCTTAATCGTATAAATCAAAGACGTCATGCACTAGATCAAACTCTTCTCACTAAAAATTCCTCCATCTTTTCCATGACCACATTTCAGAAATCCCCAAACATCTCATCTTCCTCCACAATTCTACTCTACACAATACCACACATCATACCTGACTCTATCTTGTATACACAATAACAGATAAAGGTTTGGAGTATCAACTTGAAATATGGTCTGATCAGCAAGGTTTAATGAGTTCTCCCACCTTTTGGTAAATGCCTTCTTTCTTAACACAATCCTTCTCTTGACTTCCATGTCTAAGTAGGTACAGTATATAAGTGTAGTGTAGGTATGTATGTGTGTGTTTATGTGCTTGTGTATGTGTGTGCAGTTACATATACAGGAGCATGAATATGATTGTCCATGTATGTATACACACAGGCTTGTACATGTGGATGATGTGTTTTTGTATAACCATGCAAATGTTTATGTACAGATGAGTATACATAGTGTGAGTGAAAGTATGAGAATGTATGTATGTATAAAGGTAAGTACTGTATATGCAAATACATGAAAGTACAATAATATTTATGCAATTTTATGTAGCTGTCTTTGTCAATGAGGAAATTATATATACGTACAGTATGTATATACAGTGGTCCCTCGGTTAACGAACGGTTCGATTGACGAAATTTCGGTTAACGAATTACCTCCCATAAGGATCTTCAATTCAGTTAACGAACAAAACTTCGATTAACTTGTTGATGTTATCACTAATATCTGCACCACCTCATATGTTACGAAAGAAGATGAGTAGATATAAATACACATCTAATTATTTTTCTCAAATATATGATAAAATAAAATATGTAATATACCTGGTAGTTTAATGTAAAACTAACATAACCATATTATTGTAAAATCCAGACATAATTGTATACTCTTCCAAACTAGGAAGATGCTTTACTTACACTTAGGAAAGCCACATTTTACTTACAAACAGAATACCCAATAAATGTCAAGTGCACATACGTACTGTACATAGATGCACGTTTCCAAATACTGTATATAAAAACTCCATTTAAGGAAATGTCTTTTCTTATGGCATTTTAATATATATATGAAATAATAATTTTGTCACCAGGTATTATAAGGTGTAGCTAGTGAAATGGGCTCTAATTATGATGAGCATTATCTTAACCTAACTACAGGTTGTTGGGTTGCAGTGGATTTCTCCCCTACAAACGCTGTTTGTCGCTGCGTAGCCGACCCCGCGAATTCCCCAGTGTATGCCTCGTGGTCTAGGTCAACCAGCGCCGCCCACGGAGCGGGGGTCAACTACTAAGCCATGCCTACCCCCCGCTATTTAAGACATGACCTCGTGGTGATCTCTCTCTTTCTACCTACACCAACCAGCCAGCAACACCTCCTCCTCCTCCTCCTCCGCCTGCCTGGTGGTCCTCGCTCCCGCCGGCGAGCATGGCAACCCACAAGCTGTCCTCCTCTGAGCACCCTCACCAACCAGCTCTCTCTACATCACGCTTGTAACCATGCTGCCTTCCCAGCACCAAGCTGCATTGTACATCCAATACAACATGTATACAGAGAGCACATTGTGAGTTTCTTTTCTCCAACCCATCCTGAGTGTGAACACAAACCCATACCTCCACAGGATGGTCTTTGATTACCGGAACCTCAGGGTGTTGTGACCCTGCCTTGCCAGCTGTTCCCACCTTGTGGGTTGGTGCTAGGAAGGGCATCCAGCCATAAAACTTTGCTACAACATGCCTGATGCCAACCGGGTCACCAGTGTTATGCTCATCCCCTGGTCTTTGCTGCCACCCTGGGTTTATAATGGTAAGTGTGAGGGGGTGAACATCTCATTCTAGTTTTACCCAACAACTGCCAACAGGTAACTGTGGCTAAACCATTTAAGTGTAGAAAATGGCCTTAAAATGATGATTTTTGAACTATTAAAATTAGGTTAGGCTAGGGCCTATTAGGATTGGAGTCCATTTAACTTGTAACCAGTCATGTTTTCTTAGAAAAGTTGACTTTAGCTTTGAGATCTAACCTCTTTCTGGGAGTATGTTGAGGTCTTTCAGAAATTTGAAAGGATCTATAATGTCCTTCAAAACTGCTAGTGGCTGGCTAAACATCACTGACCCTGTTAAGTGAAATACTTTGCTACACTTGAAGCAAACATGTTACTCTGTAGTGAAATACCATGATCATGAAGTAACTGTTGAGATGAGGTATAAATATGGAATAATACTTAGACAATTACATATCTAATTTATACACTAAAAATACAGCTCTACCTAAAAAAAAGAAGAGCTTTCAGAAATATAAGTACTTCCTTTGACTTATACTACACTGGAGTAAACCAACAAACAAAAGTGTCTACACTATGTGTGCCATTTACCATCATAAAAAAAGGGGTAAAACACTTTAAAAAATCTCCCTTAAAACAAATTAAAATACCTAGGCACTCCCGTGCCTACAATAACAACATTTGGCTTATCCTTTTAACCCCTTTAGTGCCATTTCTGTACTTTATAATTTCATTCTGGTTACTGTCGTTAAATTTTATTCAGCTGAGGAAATATCTCTAGCAGCCAAAGGGCTAAGAGGTAAATATAATGGATATAACCATTAAATGAAACCGTTGACTGCTTAAACTGTCAAAAAGAATACTGTGGGGTGGGGAAGAGACAGGAAGATGGAAGGGGACATAAATATGAACAGAATACATATGGTAATAATTCTTGAGGTCATGTGGATACAGATTCCCAAAGCAGAAATCATCTGCTATTCAAGTGATGAGGTATGAATGAGGGTGAATAATGGGACAGTCTATGTTGCTCTCGTTCCTATCCACTCATACAATACTATACAATGATGGGAAATGGCTTAGAGACAAAGAAAAAATCTCCATTTTTTAAAATGCCAGGAACCATTTAATGGTCTTGTAGCAGAATGAGAGCTGGGAAGAGTATGAATGGTAGAAAATATAAGTGGAGAAACATAAAAGCACCTTAATTTTCTCCAGTCAGTTTCCAAAGGATGAGTGATTCATTCCAAACTCCACACTAGATTAAAGCAAACACAGTCTTAGAGACACTTGCAGTCTTATATGCGGTTTTACAATGAGGAAAATTTACAAAGGGAAAATCATGATATATGGCTTATTTTCACACTACAATTCCTTAGCAACTGGCTTTCCATCCAGTATGGCTTTGATGTCATCAGCATCTAGAGTTTCATACTTCATAAGTGCATCAGCCAGAGCCTTGTGTTCCCTGGCATGAGATTTCAAGATTGCCTTTGCTCGCTCATACGATTCCTGCAAATAAAGATAACAGACAATTAACTCGGCTTATGAGACAAAAGTCCACAAAGAACTCATATTTCTGTAGATTTAATCTACTGCACTGTTCTTGAGTGCACATGCAAATGAGTTGGCATAAATTGTCCAGTAACAAATCAAGTCATACTGTATATACAGTGTGTGTGTGTGTGTAAACAAAAGCCTTACTTGTAACAATCTCTTGATCTCTGTATCAATGCATTCTTTTGTTGACTGCCCAAGTGAGTCACCAGTGCTGATGAGCTGGCTAGAGTTGTCTTCAAATGTGCGAAGTCCCACACGCTCACTCATACCCAAGTCCTTCACCATGTGAGTGGCAATGTTGGTTGCTTGCTGATAGAACAAAAATATTACTTCATTACTGCCCAAAGAAGAAAGTTGTTCTCAAACTTTCACACTAAGAGTATCTTTTTTAAAGTAAGTGCTAGAGAATAAGGCTACACTGCTCCTCTTCTAAATAAATAAGAACAATGATAGAAACAAAATTAATAAATAATACCTTGAGATCAGAGGATGACCCAGAAGTGACGAGGTCATTACCAAAAATTAGTTCCTCTGCTGCTCTTCCACCCATAAGGGAGTCCATGGTGGCCAACATCTGACTTCTGGTCATGTGGTACTGCTCCTTGGCTGGGATGTAGGCAGTCTGTTCAGTGATCACGAAAAAAATTATTCTCAGGATTAAGTTTTGTGTAAATATTGGAAGAAAAAACAAATTGTGTAGAACAGAGGGTGAAATAACCTGCATCACACTGTAGTTTATACCAGCAGGAGTCTCAGTGTGAAGCAAGTGTATAATTACTCAACTATCGTATGTTTCTATAGCGCATTCATCCCCGTATAGCAGAATTTCTAAATTTTTGGGGGTATTTTTGTTCCTTGGGTAAAAAAATTTGCAAACTTCATGGCTTGTGAGCCTTAAGAACTATCAACTAACCTGTAACACGTCAGGATGTAAAGTTGCCCCTCTAACTACATAGTATACACGAGCCATTAAGTACTGTAGACCTGGGAGACTAAAGCTATCACTGAACTTAATTCAATAAAATACCATGCATACCTGATTACAAAAAATTAATAGATAAACACTGATTACAAAAATAAATAGATAAACAAAGTAATAGACAGGAACAAAACCAACAGTAATCTTCATCTCAAATTCTTATGGTGCAGTTAATCACAAATTGTTGAAGCCTCTTACATGTCCCAGAGATGGTCCTCGAGGGATGATGGTGACCTTGTGCAGAGGGTGAGAGTCCTTGGTATAAAAAGCCACCAGTGTATGGCCACCTTCATGGTAAGACGTCACCAGGTTTGCCTCCTCGTCTGGGATGCGAGATTTTCTTTCCGGTCCTGAAAACAGTACAGTACAGTACTATACATGAATGACAAAGGGAGGCCATAAATGTACAAAAACATCTTATTGAATGTGATAACACTGATGAAGTATCAAACTGGTTGTCATTTATTCTCCAAGGTAGGAGCACCCAGTACAGTTGTGAACAAGAATTTCCATAATGAAGAGACACCAAGGAAAAGACTTTAGAATTTAGGATGAACAAAGGAAGGATAAGGAACTGAGTGAAAAAATTACAGTGTTCAGTGACAGATAACCAACAGAAAAAAAATGGACCTCATAATATGATGACATACAGGACAAACAAAACTAAAGCAGCTTAAATTTTTATGGGGGAAGCAAAAAGTATGTGTTGAAAGAGGTGGAAGACTGAGTTGAGGTCAGTTCTGAATACCACTACTAAAGCTCAGATGAAATACCCAAGTCATATATAACACCTTTAATATAATGCTAACCACTTTAGTATAATTAGCTAGCCCACAGAATAATGAAATTATCCTCCAAGCACGGTGGGTTGTCATCGTACTCATGGGGTCAAAAGCAAAACCTGAATTTTCTAACACTTCAAAATATTTCCTTGATGTCTGCTCCTGAATGATAATGCCTACTGTTTTAATGCATCTTTTAACCCATTCTTGTTTCTCTCTCTTATTCTTCCTTTTTTCATGTGTGGTACAAAGACACTGCTGTCTGAGATGTCTAATGATGGTGTATTTTACTGAGATTAAGGCAAGAATTATGGGCCGAGGAGATGACAGAGAGTGGGGAGTAAACACTGACACTCCCTGAGGATGAAAAGTATGTAATTTATCTAAAATATTCAAAATGATCAGTACAACAGACCATATTCAACCTACCCATAAGGACCTTATCTCTTGCTGCCTCGAGATGCTTCATGGAGACCGAGTCAACCTGATCAGCGGCTGCTCTCAGTGCTGCCTGGTTGGTTACATTCTTTATATCCGCACCTGAAAACAAAAATAATTTACTCATACACACACAGCAAATCAATTCACTTCTACGTTAACTTGACTCGTTTCCGACTATGAGAGAGGATGATCGACGGATATGGAAACCTCAAGAAAGGGGATGTAGAATTGTAGTGACATGCAAGACACGCATTGAAAGACAAAGGAAAGAGGTACAAGGACATACTGTATAGTTTTGCCCTACAGACAAACAGACTTTGTCATCCAGTCACTGAGGGAGTTCCCAGGTCGTGATAGCAGTATTGTGTGTGAGAAGAGAAAGATGTTTTTGTCAACACTAAGTAGCTGGAAGGAAGAATACGATATTAATAAGAACTAAGCTTACCCAAAGACAAGAACTAAGCTTACCCAAAGACAACATCATTTTACTGTCACTTATCAATTCACTTTTTGGGGGTAAGTGGATTGACACCTATTCAGTCATCCTGGACCATAGTAAGTAAAGGCTTGTATGCATGAAACAAATTAGAGTAAAATGCTTGTAAAATATACTCCCCCACCTCTGGAAACCTGTAACTGGAACAAAGAATGGATGGATGGATGGATGGATGGATGGATGGATGGATGGATGGATGGATAGATAGATAGATAGATGGATGGATGGATGGATGGATGGATGGATGGATGGATGGATGGATGGATGGATGGATGGATGGATGGATAGATGGATGGATGGATGGATGAATGGATGGATGAATGGATGGATGGATGGATGGAAAGGATAAAGACTTAAGTTACAGGTGGTGGGAACATCAAAACTGAGATACGTACCAGTGAACCCCGTGGTACCTCGGGAGAGAACATTTTTGTCTACGTCGTGTCCAACCTTCACTTTACCCAAGTAGTATTCAAAAATCTCTTTCCTCCCAGCAAGGTCTGGAACAGGAACCTGTAACAAACAACAGTGGCTTATGAATGAATACTTGATAATAAGGGGGAAATATATGCTACCATACTGCTGAAGGTGGTGTATCTCTCCCCAACTCGCACCCTCCACTGTGTAAGCGTTTTAAAAGTGTTAATTTGTTTATCTTTTATATTTCATTTATTCAAACTTTTAACCGTCACATGTAAACTGCACAATACTGCCCCTCTGTGCATACAATATACCGTATGTCTCAGCTATATGTAAAAGTGATGGAAAGTACTTATAGGTGGTTATATGTTTATTTTACAATACTGTATTTCAATTACCTAACACAAAGATGCATTATTGTACTATGTTACACTCCAGTATGTTGTAATATGGTTTAATGTGAAAGAACAACCAATTGTGTAGAATGAAGTTAGTTTCATAAAAAAAAAAAAAATCTGGTTGCCAAATTTATCCAAAGAAAATATACAGCGCAGCTCTTCTGTTAATAAGGCGGTGCATGAGTGTGTTAAGAACAGAAGCATTTCATAGACAGCTGCAGAGACATGGATATAGGTGATGATGGCACAAAAATAAATATTATTCAGAGTAATGATGTTCGTACTAAACCAAACTATAGTCTTACCAAACAGCTCTAGTTATCTAGCCTTCAACAGGTCTTACTCCTTCTTGAACAGTAATGTTGTCTTTCAAAGATATTTTCTTTATATTAATATACAATTGTATCATTCACAGACATATATCTTCCTGCACAAGGCTAATCAATGCTCATAAACAACAAACTTGAAACACACAATACTCATATAACAGTCTTACCTGCATAATAACACCTGGAACCATGACACTTATCTCTGGAGTGTCACATAAGAGATCTGACACTTAGCTTTTAGGAGACATGTTGGAGCCAGTCTGAGGTTTTACTCTCTATGAATATTGTCTTGTAACTGAATTTAAAATATCAGATTGACTTTGTACAGTATTACAACAAGAGACATAAGTGTTAGTAATGTGACCTCCTGCTGCCTCCAGAGAGCAACTTCCACATGTGATCTCCCTCACTCCAGGATGATGGGCTGGCTAACAGTTTCATTTACAAACACACTAATAAATCAACCCCAGCTGTCATAACCGAGTGTAAGTCAATGGATCAAAATAGTAAAACAAACAGCGTAATATAAGCTGCCAGGCGAACAGGAAAATACTGAAGTTATCTCCTTGTTTTTTCCGAGTCTCATTCACAATACAGTATATATAGTATACTGTAGTATCTCAAAAACTAAAAATAATCTATAATGACCAATGTTTTCTAATATGTTACCAGAAACACAATCACTTTTTGTGAAGCCAAGCTCATGTGCAATCTTTCCCATTGTGTCATTTGCTGTTCATTTTATATTTTTGGGTAAGTAAGTAATATAAAATTGTGCAGTACCAAACTGTTCCAATTTTACTCATCCCATATAGTAACTGCTGAAACAATATCAACAACACTAAATGGTCCTCTATGAAAAAATTTTCAAGCACTAAACAATAAAACATAAACTGACCTGGACTTCCACATCAAATCTTCCAGGTCGCAGGAGAGCTCTGTCAAGATCATCCCTTCGGTTGGTGGCCCCTAAGACAATAACACCCTCATTCTTATGGAAACCATCCATCTCTGCTAACAACTGGTTGATTGTCTGATTGGCATATGGATGTAATACAGAGTTGGAACGTTTAGCTCCAACCGAGTCAATTTCATCAATAAAGATCACACAGGGAGCCCGTATCTTGGCTGCTCCTGTAACATCAATAATGACATGTTAAAGTGTCAACAAACCAGGATGAAATTATCATAATATTAATTTTACATAGCAATATCCCTTTAACCCCTTCTGAATGGGGTTGCCTCTGAGCTGAATAAAATCATCTGGCATTAGCCAAATAAAATGGTAAAAGTGGCATCTCTGTAGTGAAGGGATTAAATCAATCAACACAATGTTTAGAGTGAACATATCTTGCAAAAAACAAAAGAAAAGGATCTATTTATCCCTCTGTGAACTATCCCCCCTTTTTTATATTGATTACCATATGAATTACAACTTCATCATCATTCAGTTTTCAGCAAAATGTATCTTGATTCACATCTGAGACTCCTTATTCATTGGAAGCTTAGATCCAATGGTGTATGAACAAATTCTTGGATATAAATATTTACTTGAACAGGTAATAGGAAGGGCATCCAGTCATATAACTTTCTTAAAATTTGCCAAATGACAACCAGGACACCATGCCATTAGGTAGGCATGTCTAATCCAAACAAGCGTGGAATATGGCCATAAACAGTGATAATGATGATGACTAAAATGGGTACAGAAAGAACTAACATTATTACCCCTTATGGGTCTGAAGGGACAGTTACATGTTACCTAGATGGTTTAACATCAAGGTAAATGAAATTCAATACTTCCTTGTGGTGAGAGACAGAATGAGTGTAATGAATGAGGATAAACAACACGATATACAGCATTTCAGAGGTAAATTTTATGCCACAAAAGAAAAAATATACCACATATAAGGAAGACTTACGGAAGAGGTCACGCACTCTACGGGCGCCTTGTCCAACCAAGATCTCATCAAACTCTGGGCCAGCAGCATGGAAGAAGGGCACACCAGCTTCTCCAGCCACAGCTCGTGCAAGAAGAGTTTTGCCAGTACCCGGTGGACCCACTAACAGCACACCTTTTGGCAGTTCAGCTCCCAAGGAGGTAAATTTTTCAGGGTTTCTTAAGAATTCAACAATTTCTTGCAGTTCTTGCTTGGCTTCCTCCACCTGTTAAACACTCACATTATTACTATGGCATAACAGTATTTTGCAATAAATATATGAAAGGCTTGTTATAAAGAATGAAAAAAAGCTAAATAACACAGAAATCAAGAAAAACTAACATACCCCTTTTACATCCTCAAATGAAACAGTAATTTCTTCAGGATGGACTTCATTACCATTTCCAACATGCATCCTGAATACAGACCCTCCCATGCCACCTGTAGAGAAGGAAAATATATGTTAATTTATATATTTAATTAGTTTAAATGGAAATGATCTTGTGTATGCAGAAAACTGGGGCAATAGAGTCAATTGTGTGTGTGTGTCTGTACCATGTAGTAGGTTTCAGACACCGCACTCATTCTAACTTTCCACACTACTATTGGTTTTAGAATGACGTTCTTCTGCTCACCTTTATACCACATTCTTAAAGCAGAGAACACCATGAAATAAGCAGCTACACCTGGTTCTAGTCTCATAAAACTTTAGCATTGCTTACACTAGATAGATAGATAAAGATAAGTAGATAAAGATGGATAGATAGAAAGTAATTAGTAAAACCATCATACATGTTTACACGGCTAAAAGTATGTCTGTAACAGAACAACAAGGCTGACCTACATTACCACAGCAATGAGAAGACAACAAACATAATCGGGTCCTCACCCATCAGAGAGATGAGTATGGCTATGAACACCACAACGGCTAAAACCTGCTGGAAGTTACGTATCCACCTCATGGCCCGGGACTGTTGTTTCTGTGGGTCAGCTGCCAGGTAACCTTCAGCAAAAGCCACTTTGAGAGATTTGCGACCTCCTTCTGTCGCCTCCTCCGACATCAGACCTGTGAAAATAGGTTACAAAATAGGGATCACACTACTGTCAAAATTAAAAGAATTAATCTACAGTATATGCATCTCTAAAAGCAACTCCCCCTTACAGAGTTAAGAGACAGACAATGTTATACCATTACAGTATGTGTTCTGCAGGGTGAGCTTATAAAATAGCAATTTGAGTAACTTCTTTACTAGTTTACTAAATACACCAATGAGTTATGAGTTATAAATATACCCAAACCATGATTAAAACACACATACACACCTCAATATTTGTACCATGATTAAAGAATTACATTTCTAAGCTAATTGATCTGTCCACCAAAGGATGCTTTAACTTCAAGTAATTAAATGGCACTTAGACCAGGTCATAAGATATTGGCTCATATTGAATTTTCAGGAGGCCCAGGACATGAATACAGGTATACTACAAACACTTTCTATCACATCTGTAAAGCTTCACCTTATGTAAAAATATTTACCTTTTAGTTTAGTGTTGTGTTCTGTTTCCTGTTGCAAAGTTCTATTGGTTACAGAGCGCTGTCTGGACTTCAAACCATCACGTAACCTGTTCGTCACAGATGATTGCCGAAGAGCTTCTCGTTCAATAGACTGCTGTGTCTTGAAACCACAATACTGCACAACATCTGAAAATTAAAGAAACAAGAACACATGTACTTTCTCCTTTCAATCTCATAACCAACCTCTTGAGCCCTTCATCTGTCTGCCTGCATTCTTCTCCCTTCCACTTCTGTTATGGCAGTTCATCTCTTAAGTAGCTACCTACAGTCTTTCCTATTTTTTAACATTTCTCATAACTGCCTTTTATCACTGTTGAAAGTCACTTAGAGGAAAAAAGCTCCTTAAAATATAGGTAACTCAATAGTGTTTAACTCAAAGTAAACTTATTAGCGTTTATTCCATAATTCAAGTCTGATAATCACTTTTGTTTAGCAGGGAGAGGTTGGTGCACTCTAGCCTCCTGTTCAATAGCTTCACTGTGTTGGTGAATAAGTGGATAACTTTCTTTCGACAAAAACACCTATGTTATACTCTATTTGTTCTGAATCCTAATACTATCATTCATGTTCAGAACCACAGAAAAGCACTAACAGAGATCTCATAGTACAGATGGTGGGCCTTATAATAGCAATTCTTTTGTTTTTCATGATATGTGACCTGGTGCCCCTTATAACTAAACAAAAGATGCACATGGCTCATACTCACTTGGCGAGAGGGTGTGTGATGACAGAAGTTTCTTAGTAATATTGAAGAGAGGTTGAAGTCGTACGTCTCCAGAAAAAGATGGTGCGATGGAACCCATATGTTTATTTTCTAGGAAGGTGTTCGCTGATTTATGAGAAACATGCCATCTTTGTTTTCTATCTGTAAAACATAACGACATGATTATCTATTTAAGATAATTCAATTAACATGTCATCATAAACTGAGTCTAAGGATCTCCCTACATGACGTGGGAACAGTCACTGCCCTCATCACACAGCTCTTTCTCCCACAGTCACAGTCACAAGTGGGAGTTATTGTAACTCTTAAATTCTGTACACTTACATCTTGATTCATCATGAACTACCACTTTAACATAACAATTGAGTCAAGATATACAGTATATCTAGTTAATGTCCGGTACTGGTTGACTTCGGACTATCATACTGTAAGTCCAATAAGTCCGGTAGAAGGTCTGTTACTTATCGGTCTATCTGAGAAATTGCTTTATTGGCTCTACCTTCACCTCAATTACTCCTATACAGTATGAAGTCTCCACTGTATATCACTTCATTACTATGACAGAGATACAACAAACATCAAATCTTCAAGAGACAACAGAACACTAACCAAGAAGGTGTGATGACTGCAGGCATTCCTTGGTCAAGTCCACCACACAGGGCAGGTTCACCTTAGGTCCATGAAGAGCAAGGTGATGTAATAACTGAGGCGTCACCAGTTTACTCACTTCCTCAAGTCCCGACTCACCCAACAGCTGTACGGTCTAAGGGTACGAACAGAAATTCATATAAGTATCATCTATATACCTGTATAGATATTTTCAATATATCAATAAGTATCCTATTACCCCCATCTCACTACACAGCCCAGTAGATCACTCAGACTCTCTTTAACACAAATTAATCCTAATACAGTAAATATCTCGACTTTCTTCCAGTGTTACCAATTTTCCCATACACACTCATACCATTACCAGTGTTACCAGCCCTCCCACACACACACACACACTATTACAGTACATATTCCATCTGTGGTATATATCTAATTGTTTTCACTTCACTCTTAATCACTCTCCTAATACCTGCAACACCTATTTCATTTTTAGATCGATATTCATCAAGAAACCCACTAACACTATTTTGTATCCCTCTCTAGTATATAACTGTATTATGGTATTGTATCACATAATTAATACTGTACCTCAGCCAAGTGGTCAGAGCACATAATGTCAACAGTGTTTGGTGCGTGATTTCCATTTTGTTTCGAAGCGTTGGCCTTGTTGTGACCTCTTCTCACACCCGGGTACTGTGACACAATGTAGGACAACGGCAACACAACCTGCAGAACAAGAAGCCATATAATGATATAATGTATTGCATGTGATGACCTTGCTAAAATTTAAAATAATTACATTTGTCTATTATACAATTTTACAGCAATTATGTTTAACTCTTGTTATTTTTTGGCCTAAAATGTCTCAAAAAACATAAAAAATATTAAATACATGTTATTTTTATCCATTTGTTTAATATCAAAGTGTAGATGATAAGCCAAACTAAATTACATGAAATAAAATGCTGTAATGTTAATATGATGGAAGAAAAGGAGATGGAAAGGACTTTTGCTTAAAAAAAATAGATATACAGTACTGGAATTGATATGGGAGTGAATTACTTGTGTGCAGTACTGTACAGGCAGTCCCCGCGTTATAAACAGGTTTCATTCCTGTTTGTAAGTCGGATCAGTGTTACTTCCATAGGTTAGGTTAGGTTAAAACACAAGCCTGCCCATACAAATAACAATGACAACATAACAAATGATGTAAATATGTGATGTTAAAGGTAATACCAACAAGACTATTGGCAGTCAGTACAGTGTGTCACATCAGTGTTCTCAGTGACGTTCTCAGACAACATCCACCAAAGCTAAAAGTAAATTCAGTTGCTACACCAAGAAGCTTATTACTTGTTAATAAATTATATATGAGAATTTTTAATCATCTACATAAAAATGTTCTAAAGTCGCTGCAGGTTTTTGTGATTATGAAACAGAAGCGTTAATGACTATGAAACAGCTGCCTCTTGGCGCTCACATCAACAACTCACGGAAATAATGGAGATGCAAAATTAAGAAGGTTGTTATTCCTCCGATTTATTTATTTTTTGACCAAGGAACAAGACATTGTTTCTCTAGGGATGTATGTTATACTCTATGTACAAGTTATAACTGTTTTATGAGGAAATTCTTCAGTGTTTTATGACCCATTTCTCCTTTCGCAGAGCTTTTATGATTTGGTTACCACCAGCGGATAGAAAATAAAAAACACCTCAGTAATAACCATGTCTCGGTGTAGAGTCGAGGAGTTGGTTTTTACTATATAATAATCTTTTTTATCTTAGAGATACAAAAAAAGAAAAATTAGTATAAATTGTTTTCCTACAGTTGCTCCTTCTTACGATTGTGTACATTATTACCTTCTGGTGAATGAAAATGAACTATCGGCAGCCTATGTCTTACCTCAGCAGGAACAGGCCTCTGAGAGTGGCCAAAATCTGCTCCACCTATAACCAGACATAATTCACTAATGGATTGTTTTAATTATCTCAAGACGTACAAACTCCCTGGAGGCCAGTAGTTTGGGCCTACTTGCTACTGTAGTGAAGAATTGCCCAATATAATTCTCATCATAATTAATAACGAACTACTATGGTTAACAATCATAGAAGTGGTGTTTCAAAAGTGGCACTCTGGCACCACCTCCCCACTGGTACAAGTTACATAACTATAAATACAATAGGATTCCCTCTTACCTGGTTGTGAAGGAAGCTGCTGGATGTACTGAACATTGTGACTGGTATAAAGGGTACAGGTGAGGGGTGGTGGTGTCACAGCTGCAATAATACTTTACACGACCAAAAAAATGCAGGTCCCTCCGTTTGCACTCACGGTAAACAATCTTAAGATAATACCACGAACCTGTAGAATTCATCATCTATTTTTTTTTCCTATTTTGATGACAGCCAAGTTCAAATATGTTTTAATCAGACAAAATTGAATAAAAAGACCCAATTTATCCGAATGATCTTAAATATATATATTTCTATTAAGTTGGTTAAAGTTAAGTGTTTTGTTAGAGAAGGTTGTTCATTTCATTATATAATGCCAAAATTTCCATTATGGTAAATACCTGTGATAATATTTGTTTTATATTACCCCAAAAAAAACTATGCAAGCTTTTAGTTATGATTATCTTATCTAGAAGGAAAATGGCTAGTTCCGTTTTGATCGTGGTATTACCGTAACATTATTCATCTTGCGCACCGCAGTGTTGTAAACATTAGAATAAGTGAAGGTCAAGATGCGGATTAACATGTTATATCATTCACTAACATTACTATACATATTAATACATAGATAACCTTTTTTTGTGGGAACTACTTTTTTTTTCATTAATTAGTGGAGTTAAATAATCTACTGTAGCTGTGATCCAAAACTTTAATGGTGAAAGGATGACAATGCATTTATCATTCATGGTAACTATTATATCACCCTCTACAGTGTGTGAGTCATAATTATATGTAATGTTTCCTCTATTGATAGCACATACATTGATTTTATATTCCAGTCTACTTTAGATTATACATAACAATAACCATTTAATCTCGAAAAAGAAATGTATAATCATGTCAAGAAAATGGGGGAGAGGGTGTAGTGAGGGTGACTACTTTTGGGTATACTGAACATATGTAAGTATTGCCTGATGATAGTTAGCTAATAGACTGAAAATATCATAAAATAAATTGTATTTTAGTTAGTGTGATTAATTCGTGATATTGATAACAATAAGATTATATCCATGATATTTACTTGAAAACATTATCGTTTTGTAAAGCAACTAAGAAAAAAAAATCTAATTGTTATGAAATCCGCCAGATGTCATCACGTGATTGACCAATAATGACGCACCCACCTCACCAATCTAGCCATAACTACCACAGGATCGTAAAGTATGTGCAGTGGATTTCTCCCCTACAAACGCTGTTTGTCGCTGAGTAGCCGACCCCACCAATTCCACAGTGTATGCCTGTGGTCTGGGTCAACCAGCGCCGCCATACATCACGGAGCGGGGGTCAACTACTAAGCCATGCCTACTCCCCGCTATTTAAGACCTGACCTCGTGGTGACCTGCCTCTTTCTACCTACACCAACCAGCCAGCAACACCTCCTCCTCCGCCTGCCTGGCGGTCCTCTCCCGCGGGCGAGCATGGCGACCCACAAGCTGTCCTTCTCTGAGCATCCTCACCAACCAGCTCTCTCTACATCATGCTTGTAACCATGCTGCCTTCCCAGCACCAAGCTGCATTGTACAACCAATACAACATGTATACAGAGAGCACATAGTGAGTTTCCTTTCTCCATCCCATCCTGAGTGTGAACCAAACATCCAAAAACCCCACATATGTTATCATCTAATTTATTTTACAGTAAATAAAAAGATACAACATAAATCTTGGTGTTGGCTTGTAAGCTTTTTTTTTTATTATTGTGTAAATATTGACATATGATGCAATCCTCAAATACAACACCAAACCAAAAATAAACTAACCAAACCTACCTGGTTGGCTCATTAGCCGCTTGGGCGATCGCTCATGTCTCTGTTACGCACTGTTGGCAAGTACTGGGCATGCACCGGCTCCTGAATGTACCTGAACCTGCTCCAGTGTTGGTCAAGTCTGGTCTTGAAAGAGCTCACACTCGATGCCATCACAACACTTTCTGGTAGATTGTTCCAACAGTTCACAACTCTCACTCCGAAAAAGTTTGCCCTCACAGTTTTCTGGACCTGCGGCTTCTTCAGCTGTGACCCCTTGTGGGGTGAGCGTCCGCCAGCTCCAAGTAAGGACACTCGACTGAGTAGTGCCCCTTGAGATGCTTATACACCTCAATTAGGTCGCCCCTTGCCCGTCTGTAGTATAAGCAAGGCAAGTTCAGGCCCTGTTGGCAAGTACTGATTCCAGAATGTATCGGTACCTGCTACAGTGTTGGTCAAGTCTGGTCTTAAATGAGCTCACGCTCGGTGCCGTCACAACTCTCTCTGGCAGATTGTTCCAACAGTTCACAACCTCACTCCAAAAAAGGTTACCTTGAGAGTTTTCTGAACTTGTGGCTTATTCAACCTTAAGGTTGAAAGTGGTATATTTAACCGATATAACATAAATATTAAACACGTGAGCATCTTCGGTTAGTGGCCATCAAATAGGCACACAATATGTCTGAACATGGACCAGTCTTTAAATACCTGAAATTTAAAAAGTGACACATCAGAAAGTATGTGAATTTTCAGTGGGTGACCCATGATGTGCAATGTTTTATTACATTCTGTTGAAAACAACAAGACAGGATTAGGGGCAGAAGTTTTCTGCACTAACAGATGAAGGGTATTTCTATATTCTCTGTTCCAGGCAGCAGCAGGGTGTACCTAGCAGGTGGGGAAAGGAGGGTCATGTGTTAAGGTGCATCCACTACCCACACACATTATATTTTGTTGAGTACTAATCAACGCCATCATCATCACTGGCACAGGTTAACTATGATTATCTGATGTCCAGTAGTAACAAGACTTGGTGCTGCTTTTATTTTACCACTTACTTTTTATTCCAATACAGTCACTGTCATATTTGGTCACAGATACAGAATGTAACTTGCATCAGGATACTTTCATTAGATAAAAACTATTTATTACAGCAATTTGTTTATTTAAAAAAATATGCAAAGAATCAGGTACATATGTACAGGTATAACTATTACAGTACATAGTTTTTGCTAAATGTCATTTAACAATGCAATATTTTTATGTGAAATTTTGGAGCAAAACCTTTAAGATTTTTAAGTGTACCTATTAGTCTTTACACACAAGTTTATTAATTTATAATATGTCTGGTTAGAAGGCCCAGGGTGTAGGGAAAATTGTGAAAATATCTTCATTCCACAATATGTGACCCAGTACAATAAAGTGGTAAAAATAATAAAATAAGCCACACACTGTAAGGGCTATATTGACTCATCTCTCATTTCCAGCATAACATGTAAATATAAACACAAGGACTCTTAGATATTAACAAACTAATATAGTACAATAAATTTTTTCATCCTTAATTTCATAATGCCATGACTAGTATTTTACTGTGGTAGTACTCAACCAGGCCAGAGAAACAGGTTCGTAAGTGCAAATGTGTTTAAACATCTTTCCATCCAAGTTGAATATCATAGCAGACCATACATCCAACACTCTAATGAGAAGACATTGTCCAGTGAGGATAAAGGATACTTTTTTATGTTTGGTTGTAATCCACAGTTTTAAGATCCAGTGACAGTGAGAGGTTTGGTTGATGATATATTTGTTCATTTGATTATAAAATATACTACCAACCTAAAGTACTACGGTAAACATTGTCTTCATACGATCAACTATATCTTCCACCAAACCTTTCTTTGTCTTAGTATCCTGTGCACTGATTATCCTGTCCTTACTTGGAAAAGAAACATTATCATTCAGCTGGCATCAACAATGTCATCCTTTAGCTTTACTTATTAAACCTAAAGTCATAGTAGGATGAGTCACACATCATCTACAACATCTTAATATAACACTTATTTTTACTCTGATCTAAATTTACAAAGCAAGATGTAAATTCTTAAAGGCTACAACAGTCGTGCTTTACCTGACTGCCCCCAAATTCCTAAATGTAATGATGTGCTTATTATCAAAATACATACTATACTAATACATAGGTGTAGGAACATAATGCCACTGAGTGGACACATTTCTTACATTGATTAGTCCTTCTGTGGGTGTCTGACTTTGCAAGTTTGCTGTCCCTTAATACAGGGGTACCCATGCCCCCAGTGCCCCCTAGTTCTAATGCCTATGCAAAAACAATTATAAACCTTATATATTAGTTTATTTCAACAGGGATGTACAAAAGAAAAAAACTCACACAAAAGAATAAAGACCTTGATAATTTGTTTAATAAATACTGATGCACAGTAAAGAAAAAGGAATGTATGAGGGTACAGGGATAATTACTGCTATGGTATACCTGTTTTAAATATGTACATATACTGTACTGTATTGTACATTACACAGTACTGTACATGGGCTAACAGAAAAATACTGCAGGTAGCAGATTTTGTAAAAGAAGAAAAATTAAATACCAAGAGGAAGTGTGTGAGAGAAGGGTGGTCAGCATGGGTCGCTTTCTCTAGCGGCTAAAATTTTTACAGCAAAACAAATTTTATCTCATCTTAATTATATTTAGTATTTACCATCACTATAAGAAAATATAAGCCATGTAACCTTAAGAGATGAAGACTACTGAAGGGGTCATATGTAATCAATAAAAGAACTTCATAATAAAATACAAAATTTCTATTAAAAAAACATGAACAATTTAATTAAAAAAAAAAATTACTGTCACCCTGATGGTATAAAACACTTGAACACTCAGTTATAGATTTACTTCCTCCTTAAGTACTGTATAGTAATGCAACAATTTAAAATGGATGCCGATGTTAAGCCCCTAATAACATAAAACTTTAAACTCACTGCATACTAAATCTTGTGATGGTATCTAAAATATCAACAACATTCAGATAATTACTGCACCTGGCTGAGCTAAATCAAATCCATCAAAATTGCGGTAAAAACTTCAAGGTCATATAAGAAGGTAGAAGCACAATAATGGGTGGGTGACTTTAAGAAACTAATACTGCACACAACCACTTGCTGCCACTGGACGGACAACTGGATATCTAATTCTATTTTAATACTGTAGAGCAAAGAAACAGCAGAATGTGCCATCCCCAAATTTGAACATACTTTTATGTCAATAAAGCTTACCATCCCATTCCTTTATTGGGGATGGTGAGCCTTTGTGCTGTTGTGAAGCACAATGGTGGCAGTGCTAAGTCACAAATCTCGGTGGCAGCTTAGTGATCCATTATTTTTATGCATCTCTTTCAAGCATTCTTTAAAACCTAAAGTCCAATGTACAGCACTGTACTGTAATGTACAGTACTTCATTTATTTGATAAGTAATCAAATTACTGTACCTTGACAATAAAAACAAATACACCTTTTACTGGAAAATTACTGTCAGTTCCAATGTTAATGAGATCTGATTTTTCCAACACATTATTTAGAACACTTACTTTCTAAGAACATAATCAACATTAAACAAAGTGAATTCACATAAAACACAACACACTATAAAACCTAAAGATACAATTAGGAATCCACTCCATTTAAAACTAGATAATTTGTGCAGCCAAAACTTAACTCCAACAGCCACACAAATCAACACATTTCAGTTGATTTACCAACTTCTTGACATTAGAGGATTAGTTTTACTTCTTATGCAGTTCACAGACTGAAAGTAATATTCTGAGTAAATATCACAATTCTTCTCTCTCAACTAGTACAATATTACACCAAATAAAACTTCATTTTCTGTCAAATAAAACTGTGATTTTTTTTCCTATTCTATAAGTTTCGTTAATTTACTGAGTAAAATGCTTTATCACATATTTCCTTATAGCTACTGATATTAAAACCTTTAGCATAGCCAACATCAGACATTATTGCACAAACGTTTCTTATCTGTCCAACCATAGTCAAGCAAATACTAGGTACTGCACTTGACTCATCAGCAAATGAAACAAAACATGGATTCTGAAAAAAAATTTACATTACAAGACAGCCACTCAAGATAGAGAGGTCATCCTCCACACCACAAAAAAATTCAAGAAATCACTACTTTGGACAATAATAACAGAAAATACTTTTTTTTCACACTTCTTTGAGATCTTGTTATGTTAAATTCATATACTACTGTACAGCCACTGTCAGAAGTTCACCCCCATCCAAAATGAAGCAGCATCGGCCCCAAATGAGATAAAACAGCACACCAGCACCAGATGACACTCAGGGTAGGTCAGTTCAGAGACTCAGTCCCGTCACTCAATTTCACCGTGGGAGCAAACTTTTGTCCGCAACTGTACTAAGTTCGGACAGTATTCAATGTTGTGGGTAAAGAGAGAGTATTTCTACATCCCTTACCCCCTACCACCTCCACCAGCTTACCATCATGAATAACAGGGTGTTGTCGTAATGAATAACAACTCATCATGATAAGGGATTAACATGATGAATAATAAAGGATTACCAGGACGAATAATAAGGGCTTAATATGATGAATAATAAGGGATTAATATGATGAATAATAAGGGATTAATGTGATGAATAATAAAGGATTAATATGATGAATAATAAGGGATTAATATGATGAATAATAAAGGATTACCAGGACGAATAATAAGGGCTTAATATGATGAATAATAAGGGATTAATATGATGAATAATAAGGGATTAATATGATGAATAATGAGGGATTAATATGATGAATAATAAGGGATTAATGTGATGAATAATAAAGGATTAATATGATGAATAATAAGGGATTAATATGATGAATAATAAGGGATTAACAGGATGAATAATAAGGACTTAACATGATGAATAATATGGGATTAAAATGATGAACACTAAAGGGTCATCTGCATACATAAAAAGCAGTCACCAAGATCAACACGAGAATCACAACTCACCGAGATGCTCAACAACCCTACAGGCAGAATCAAAAATGACAATAGAATATTGAAATTCAAGCCATTAGAAATTATTAGAGCTGTGACTACCCATACATCATGCTAACTACTAACTACTGGTACATCTACACCCTACCGAAACATGTGGTGTCTTTTATCTATGCTGTAGGAAAACTTAAGGTCGAAAGTACTGAAGTGTATACTCCGATTTCGTTACAACTTCAGCACTTCCAGCATTACAAAAGGCACTTATAAGCTAAGGGAATGGAGATACAAGGCTAAGGAATGAGCAAGTGATGCCATGATCCTCAGTCTAAATCATGATCAAACTGGTGGCTATTTATACACACTTCTAGATATCACCACATGCGTACACACATACAGACATACTAACAGCGCAGTAACTTAACCAGATTTGTAAATAAAAAACTTTGTCTTATTTTTACAAATTTAAGGTCTTTCATTGCAGTAAAAAAAAAATTATAATAAAAATATAAAATAAAATTAATAAAATTTTGACAAACTGCCTGAAAGATACAAGTACGTATCACAACTCACTTTCCCTAACGTACACAGCACAGTATAAAACAGGTATCATTAATATTACTGTACTCATCATCAAACACTCATTGTACTTTTAGTCTTTGTAAATACCCAGTACAGGTATTTACAGTATCACATATACACCTTTTTACAGCCTATTACTCTTCATTACACATTAACGCCACTTAATATTGATGGTCTATCACATTTACACATCTACTGCCTTGTACTACTTTTAACACCAGCTTTTATTGCTCTCTAATCCAATCTCTCTAAACAAGTAACGTATTAGAGCACACATAACATTTTAGAAAACCACGTTTCCAATAATAGACACCAAACCTAGTTGTTATTATGGTACACTCCTATCTCATGCCTTGATCCTCTAGTGCAGTGTACAATACAGAGCTAGTTAATAGTACTGTATCTGTACATGGCCTACATCATTCACCACAAAAGTTTGTTCACTTTTACAACATTATGGCCATTCTTTCTTACAGTAAGATCATCTGAGGATTAACTCCCCCAGCTTATCTCACCTTAATCCTAATGCTAACCTATCCTAACTTAATTTAATCTTACCCCTCCAGGTAGCATTAAGGTGCTTTAGTCATTAGGTGAAATAAGTTCAGGGGGTGATATAAACTTCAGCTGATCAATATCTTTTAGATTAAATATATATCTCCAGTATCTCGTATTCTTCCCGAGATATTTGTAACTTTAAACCTGAAGTCATAAACATATACACACAACACATAAAACAATCTTATGCATACTAATGTTTAACCAAAAAAACTTGTAGGTAATAAACAAAACTATACTGGTAAAGGAGCTCTCAGCCTCTCAATACTGTACTTGCCATAATATTTACCAAGGTTGACACTCTTATTACTTCACGAATGGTCTTAAGTATAAATGTTTAAGCCAATCACCTCAATAGTGTGGGAAGACACTGCGGGTCAAGGTAGGGAAATGCGACACCATAATTACTGTACAAACACAACAAACTACGGCAACTCAAAATGATAAAATGGCTATAAATACATATAAAGGTTAAGGTATTTAACCCTTAAGCCCCGGGTTAGGGTGCTGCTGGCAGTAACCCTTCCCCAGGGATAAATCGAGAAAAAAAATCTACCAAAAAAAAAAAAAAAGGCGGGAAAATAGGCGGAACGTCACCCGGGGCCTAAGGGTTAAAACTGACTTCCTAAGTTTTATAAAACCAGGTAAATAAAGGATTCTGTGTGAAGAATGTGAACCACCAGCCTAACCATCGCCGATTCAGACAATTTAGTCAGCAGTGGCAGAGTGAAAATGAAAATCTTACATAACAAACATTAATTTCACTACAGCAATTCTAAATGATAAGCTTTCTTGCTGACATTTAGATATTTTTAAACTCGCTGAAAGTGACTGAGCAAAATACCTAATACAACTAAATTTTCTCTTATAGTACAGTAATTACTTTGGTGAGCTGTTTGTGTAAAATAAGGTAAGATTAATAATGTACATACTGTAATTAGGGTCAATGCTACATTAAATACATTTCAAGAGACAAAATGGCTGTACACTACAATAATACCCCGTTGATAGCTGATTGACTGTTAAATTCTTGGATTTTTTCTCTGTTAACCCCTTCACTACAGGGATGCCACTTTTCATATTTGATTTGGCTAACATCAAACGATTTTATTCATCACAAAGAAGACACTGTACAGCAGAGTAAGTAAAGTGTCTGTCTATCTGTCTTAAATTTGTTCAATGAGTTATAAATGAACAGGATGAAGATTGTAAGAAACTTATCCGTTCACTAACTTGACTCCTCTTCCAATTGTGTATGAAGTGGATCAAAAGGGATACATACGGTAAACCTCAATAAAAAAAGAATATGCAGCGGTGGGGGAGGGGGAGGGGGGGGGAAACAATAAAGAGTGATACAAGTGTAAAAAGTAACAGGGAATAAGTCACGACATGGAGTAGAAACACCCAATCACACTCTTGCTCACATCCTCACACAATATACAAAGTGAATCACGAGGCTTCACTACACTGTACATACAAAGTTGGCTCACTACGCTAAAAAAGACTCGTATAAGAGAAAACCACGACAGAGATCTCTTACATAACACATTCTCTGCCACCAATGACAGCTGTGTATGAAGTTTATGTAGAGTTACCATACATATTCAAGTAAAAACCTTAGGACTGAGACACACTGCTTAATAAACATGTACTGTATGTATAAAACTGTAAGTTTCTGAAAACACGTATTTGATGAATCGCCTTAAATTTTACAAATAATCCTTAAAAAAGTTTATGCTTATTAAATTGGAAGGGAAATGTTGACTGTCCATTTGTACATGAAGATACATATATACTGTTAGAAAAATACAACACTTACTTGTTTTCTTTGTACTTGTATGTACTTGTTAGTATATCTTGACCTGCACTGTCTTCAGCCACTGCCTCACCCACCTCCTTGTTATCACACTAAAGTGGACAGCTGACTACACCCATCAATTACCTGATGTAACCACCATATTACTCAAAAATTTTTAGCTTATATACTGTACAATATACAAAATACATATTATCATTGTAATTTTATAGGACTACACATATTTTAAGCAGAAAAGCCATATGAACATTGTCAAAATAAGTTCTAATATTTAAAAATAATTATTTACGATAACCCGTTACCCAGTTTTGGGCAAGTTGTTGATCTTTGATGTTGTACAGTAATCATGTAAAACTGCACTTTGTCTCTGAATGATAATGATGCCCAACAAGTCACCACGATCCATCCAATATCATAATAAAAGCTGTGCAGACAAGTTTCAGGTTGACACAGCTGATGACAACACCTCTTAGCCTACATCTTGGGTATAATATGTGAAGCAGACAGCCAACCACTCCAGTGATCACCAGGAGTTGATGAAGACAATGCTGGAAAATACTGCAGTTTGCCAAGTTTACAATGCCAATATGATTATCAATGATTGCCACTTAAATTCTTTACTCTGCAATCATATACAGTACTTTGTATATGAGTTGGGATTGAAACACTTTCCTTCCTTATAAATATAGTCTCAGATATTGCCTACATAACTACATCAGCATTTCGATGAAATTCTTATCATAAAAGTTATAAATTATTGTGCTACACTGCAGTCTCACCTGCAGAGACTTAGTTCTATACTGTACTTCACTATACAGTACAAGTACAGTATACTATTCACAATACAAATCTAATACAATAATGACATGGACACAACTATCTTCTACTCTGCCTCTCCCTGGATGTCAGTTTGTACCAGGCGGGGTTCTGATGGTCCTGCAGAGCTTCTCGTATAAGCTCATCCGGGGAGGGACAATCAAACCTAAAAATGCGGAACGGAACAGTTATGGTTTTTTCAGTCAGCCGCTTTACTCTAGGAGTGGGGGGTATTCTTGCCATTACCTGACCAAAAGATGAAGGACAAGGTTTACACAAAGATGAATCGCTCTCAAACTGGCCGCATTCTATGATCATTGCTAGATCTCTCGATGCCTCATTCTTAACAACTGGGTCAATCTTCTCTGGAGGCTTCATGAGAGCAGCTTGCAAATCAATATCAGGAACTATGTCATCAATTGCCTCATCCATCTGCAACACCAGTTCTAGATTTTCCTTTTCAGGATGATCGTTGTCAGGAGAAAACGGCTGATGAAGCTTTGGGTGACGATGGCTGTCAAGGGAGAATTCTGAGACTGATAAATCTTGCATTGTTGATGGTGAATGTTGGTAAGGAACTAGACCAGATTGAGGAAGAAATCTAGGGTGGGGGAGCATACCAGGTGGTGGAGGTAAACCAGGTGGTGGAGATAAACCAGGTGGTGGAGGCAAACCAGGTGGTGGAGGCAAACCAGGTGGTGGAAATAAACCAGGTGGTGGAGGCAAACCAGGAGGGAGTGATAGGCCAGGTGGGAGTGTGAGTCCAGGAAGTGGTTGTATGACCTGGGGATTCTGTATAGAAGACAGAGGCTTAATGAGACCTGGCAACTCCTTTCCAAAAGAATTCATGCTACCAGCTGATGACAGGCAAGTGACATCAGCCATGGGTGAATCTGAGGACACAGACAGAGAGACACCTTCTGAACCAGACATATTGAGAGAAGTAGGTGAGTTGCGAACAGGATCCAAATTTTCAAGAGACTTGTCCTTTCCTATATTGCTTAGTGTCACTGGAAAGGGCAGAGCACCACCAAAACTCAAACTTGCAAAATCACAACCAGAAGAATCAAGTGCACTTCTGTCTTTTGGTGAAACAACTAGTTTTGGGATACTCAAACCAGAGGATGGTGGTTGCATAGATTCAGAAAGTATCAAGCTTTGCTGATGGGACAATGGATTCAAATTTGTTGATTCTGCGGGACAAATTTTTTTTTCAAGGAGTTTTATTGCATCTCCAGAGGGCAGAGAAGCTGTTGGTTTCCAGTTTGGACTTGAACTAAGAAAGGGTGGGGTATTGTACCCAAAACTGCCTACACAGGAATTTGCAAGAGTTGACAAACTGGATTCTGTGTTACCCATGTATACTGCTGCAAGTGATGACAAGCTGGGTCCAGAGTTCTTATTGCCTGTTAATGACAAGACAGGCTCAGGATTTTTTGTCTGAGTTGATGTGACTAACTGTAAACTGGGTCCAGAGTTTTTAATTCCTGTTGAAGGTAGGAATGATGAACTGGACACAACATCCATAGTGTGTGCTGCTGCAAGAGATGACAAACTGGGTCCAGCATTTTTAATTCCTGTTGTTGGTAGAGAAAATGAACTGGACTCAACATCCATAGTGTGTGCTGCTGCAAGAGATGACAAACTGGGTCCAGCATTTTTAATTCCTGTTGTTGGTAGAGAAAAAGATGCAAGAGATGACAAACTGGTCCAGCATTTTTAATTCCTGTTGTTGGTAGAGAAAATGAACTGGACTCAACATCCATAGTGTGTGCTGCTGCAAGAGATGACAAACTGGGTCCAGCATTTTTAATTCCTGTTGTTGGTAGAGAAGATGAACTGGACTCAACATCCATAGTGTGTGCTGCTGCAAGAGATGACAAACTGGATCCAGCATTTTTAATTCCTGTTGTTGGTAGAGAAGATGCTGCAAGTGATGACAAACTAGGTCCAGCATTTTTAATTCCTGTTGTTGGTAGAGAAGATGCTGCAAGTGATGACAAACTGGGTCCAGCATTTTTAATTCCTGTTGTTGGTAGAGAAGATGCTGCAAGTGATGACAAACTAGGTCTATCTTGCTCTGGATCAGATGTTGAGGATGACACACGATGAGCTGGGTCCTCCTGGTGCAGTACTCCAAGAGGTGTTGTTATTACTGTAGTTCCACCGAGTCCAAAATTTGATTGGGTTGAATATGATAAACCTGAGAAAGAGTTTGTTGACTGTGAAGAAGATAGAATTGTTAATCTGGGAACAGAAATTTTCAGTTGTGATTTAGCAAGAAATGACAAACTGGAGTCTGAGTTCTGGTGCAAAGATGCTGTAGTTGATCTTGGGTCCAGAACTGTAGAGGATGAACTCACATGGGAATCACTCACATTTGCTGGGGAGGATGATGACATGTTGCCACTTTGAAGAGGAACTTCATCCATAGGTATTACGTCTTCAGGGGTTTTCTCCAGTTCTAACTCAAATGAGTCTGCAAGTAAATCTTGACTATCTTCACTTGCGTCCTGACCAGAATCCACTGTTAGCTCCTGACTCTCCCCACTGACAGTGAAAGAGTCTACACTACACTGACTTTCATTCCTTGTCCGAGTCAGAGCGATGGCTTCTTCATTCTTTTTCTTTTTTGTCATTCTCTTCTGAAGAATATCTGTGTGCCACTCTTTCACCATTTTGTGTAATGAGGGTCTCTCAATAGTATTCTTGTCAAAAAATATTGCAGACTCAAAACAATATGAATCTGGCAGCCGGTACTGAACTGTGATGATCTCCTCTGATGTCCAATCAGCAACCAATTAGCGTCAAATTATCCAAATATACCATACAGAAGTGATCCAATTTTCACGTTGTTATTCCAATATGCCGGGACAGGTTCATGAAAAAAAGGGAAAAGTGCATTTTGTTAGTAAACATGCAAATGCAGTACAGCACATTACCAGTGTACTGTACAGTATAGAATTTTCTTTTCCCATTCTTATGAGTCTTTTCTCACAATTGGGTACTGTACTGTAATGTCACTGGAATCAATCAACACAGACTCTACCTATACTCACTGTCATATATTACCTCTTAACTCCCTGGCCAGATGAGATCTTCTACCACTGTTGTTAAATATAAAACAGCACAGCACATAAACATTACATCTATCCCCATAAATCATTTAACATCATGGTTTCTGGTCACTCACACACACACACACACACACACACAGAAATTTCCTCAATGTCCATTACCCCTCTCTACAATCCATTTTCTCCTTCACTCTATCCATCCTCCTCCTTGGTCTTCCCCTCCCTTTCCTAACATCCATTTCTAAATCATATTTTTTACTGTGTTAATTTTTCATTTTTGTCCTCCCATAATTTTTATCAATCTTTACCCTTCTGTACAGGCAGTAACTGATTTACAAAGCTTCAGGCACTATTACCTGATGGCAGCTCTCCATGATGTGTGGGCTCTTGCGGTGTCTTTCATCAGGTTCTTATCTCTGATATTTCTTACAACCTTTCCCCCTCTTATAATTTCATATTATTCTTTGCATCTTTTTCACCTCTGTTAAAATGCACATCATTTCCTCTAATACCAAATTACTTATTCTTCTTGGATCCAGAGCCCATGTTTACCTACATCAGGGATTCTCAAGCTGGTGTTCATGAGTGATGCTTTTGGTCATGATTGAGAGCACTTTATACAAGTCACAAGAGCATCATTGTACAGCATTGTGGTTATGAGCACCATGGTGAGAAGCCCTGCCTCAGGTAAACAAAGTCAACAGAATATGGATGGCATTGTAGTGTATTACTGGATTATAATATACTGTACATTATTAAAACAATATGTTAGTCTCACCCATTCCTAATGTTGAATGGTCACCATCTTCACTTGAGACACAGTAAGTTTTGTCATCTGGAAAACAAGACAAGACATACAGTATTAAAATATGATGATGGAAATATTTTCATCTTAGAAGATCAACTGATTAGTTCTATCATGCATCATTCTTTGAAAAAATAGTCAATGGACCACTCGAACCTTCTTCACCCAAATATTAATCATCCTAACACTAAAGCCCAGGTAGTACACCTTGTTCTATGAGTCTGTGACCTTCAGGGAAGAAAACAACTTAACTTATTATAGTGTTCCCACTATAAACTGCTTACAGTATTTCCGATCACTTTCACAACAAGAAATTACACCCATCACATTGTCTCTCCCTCAACGATAGGTAAGAGACAATGTGGTGAAATTTGTCCATACCATTAGCCTTGGTCAAATACATTTTGAGATCATGAGGATAGATAAGGATTGATTGGGGAGTTTTGCCTGTATTGAGTAATTCTTAACACAGTCCGCCTCTCTAAACGTCCACAGGTAATAAGTAAAAACAAGGGTCCAGGTTAGGTAAGGTTAGTTTGAATATCTAAATACAGGGACGACCGAAACTATCATTTTACCCTGTTGTAAATTACTACCTATTTAACGTCACACAGGCAGTGTACAGGTTCACACAGTATATAAAATCACACAACACACTAGTTCGCGTATGACATCACATCACACAGGGAGTATACAGGTTCAGAATAGGCACATCACACAGTTCAATACGTAATTTCACACAACATCTTCCACTTAGCGGCTGAACAATAATTTTAAGATGAGGTAATCACCTTTAGGATCAGGCTGCTTGATTTCAGACTTTATCTGAGACATATTTGCACTATTTATTATAAAACTACATCAAGTCGTATTGTTTTCCTCTTAGTGTTTACCCTTCCTTCGCAGTATGACACGTTCGAATTCTCTTTCTAAGCAATACTAAAAAATAAATACAACTAAGACAATAATTTTATTTATATAACTTAAATTAATTTATAATTACATTATTAACATTCTTTTTATACAAATATTCATAAATTTGTATATAATATGACATAGTTTCTAATATAACGATGTTGAGGTTTGTGTCACTTTTAGAGGCCGAACACATGGCGGTCAAAGGGAACAAGTAATCTCGCGGGAACTGATTTTTCAAATTAGCGTGTATACAAATTATTTTATGAGTTTCAAATACAAATGATAATTACACCAGTAATAATGAAAATAGTTAAGCTAAATTAAATAAAGAAATGCCTCTATACATGCAACTGGTCAAAATATGGTTAGAAAAGGGGTTGATTTATGCAAATGCATTTTTTTCTTTTATCCTCTTCACCACTGATTGGCTCGTATGCTGTAAGAATAGTGTCTGGTTATTATCAGACAATATTTTGAGAATGGTATAAGTAGATAACACTTATCAAAGTCATGGTAGACCAGCACTGGAACAAACCAGGGTCTTTTTCACTGATGCCAGTAATGAATAAACTCCCCTGCAGAGGTAGACCTGGGCTCAGGGACTGGCGGCTGATACAATCATGGCTCCCTGACTTTTTTTTTCTCGAGAATATAGCCCACCCGGGCACAGGACATTGACTCACATCGGGGCCTGGGGGGGGGGGGCGAAAAAATAAGAATACAAATAAATTTAATATTGAAAAGGAAAAGATTATATTAATCTCCACCACGAAGATGCTGGAAAACCAGCTTTTTAAAACGAGACATTGTATGAGTGTGGAAATACAGAAGAAGGCAGAGCATTCCACAGTTTGGCTGTGTGAGGAAAGAAAGATGTACTATAACGGGTTATTCTAGTGTGACCGGTAAGGGGAGGACTCAGAACACAACTAACTTAAATGTATACTACGCAAACAGTAGAAGTATGAGAAACAAAATGGATGATATTAGGACCTTGGTATGTACCGAAAAAATCGATATAATTGCATTCACTGAAACATGGATCAACCTAGACACACGTGAGTTACCAGTCGAATACCAAATTGCGGGTTACAAACTGTTCCATACCGATAGGCAGACCAGGAAAGGAGGCGGAGTAGCAATCTATGTTAGGGATAATCTGAAGTGTGAAATAAATAAGGAAATAAAAACTGAGCGGAATACAGAAACAATTTGGATAGAATTAATCGACGGTAGAGAAAAATTAATCACAGGAGTAATATATAGACCTCCCAATCTTGATAGAGTCAAAGAGCGACTTATCTGGGATGAAATGCGCAGGGCTTCCATACACAACAAAGTCTGTATAGTAAGCGACTTTAACCTTGGCCAAATAGGTTGGACTGACCTTACGGGTAACTCAGAATCAGAGGATTTTCTCGAGACTATCCAGGACTGTTTTCTAAGTCAACATATAACTGAACCCACACGGGGTAATAATATACTCGATTTAGTTCTGTCAAACAGAGAAAACCTCATTAGCAGGGTCGAGGTAGGGAACGAATTTGCAAACAGCGATCACAAAGAAATTAGATTCCAGTTAGACTTTCAGGGCAGACGTAAGGAAAATTCCACTAAAGTACCAGATTTCAGAAGGGCGAACTTTGACAGTTTAAAGAGGCAGCTGAGAGAGGGGGTGTCGCGCTTGGCCGTGAACCTGTCAGATGACACAGACCTGATAACGAGATCTGAGATTGCCGAGTTCCACGACAATTTAAATAGTGAGTTACTTAATGCACAAAGGCAGAACATACCATACAAAAAACTCAGATCAGACAACAATGACCCTAAATGGATTAATAATTATTTAAGGAACATCATTGGCCAAAGGAAGGCTATAGGTAGAAGGATAAATCGTGGCGAAATTCACCTCCGGGACTATTATAGGGTATTGGCGAGTAGGGTTAAAACCGAGATAAGGAAAGCAAAGAGGAATAATGAGGTAAGGATAGCAAGGGAGGCGAAGACAAACCCCAAAGGATTCTACCAAATGTATCAAACTAAAACACGAGAAAAGATTGGACCAATACGGTCAGACACCGGCGAGCTCACTGATAACGACAGAGAAATGAGCAATAATTTGAATAAATATTTTTCAACAGTTTTCACCACCGAAAATTTAAACATGATACCCGAGGCACCGACTCTATTCAGAGATAGTGAAGAAAATAAATTAAGTGAGATAGTAGTGACTAGTAACGATGTTAGTAAGCAAATAGACAAACTAAAGCCTAATAAGTCACCTGGTCCCGATGAGATATTTGCCAGAGTATTAAAGGAATGTAAGGAAGAGCTTAGTATGCCCTTAGCAAAGTTGTTTAACATGTCCTTAAAAACAGGTGTAGTACCAGAATCCTGGAGGATAGCGAATGTAATACCGATTTTCAAGAAGGGGGATAGATCACTATCCTCTAACTACCGCCCAATCAGTCTAACATCAATAGTAGGCAAATTACTGGAAGCAATCATCTCAAACTCTATTCGAAATCACCTGGAGAAGCACAGATTGATCAATGATTCCCAGCATGGCTTCACAAGCGGACGCTCTTGCCTAACTAATCTATTAACATTCTTTTCATCAGTTTTCGAATCTGTGGACGAGGGGCACAATTATGATGTGGTATATCTCGACTTTAGCAAAGCCTTCGACAGAGTCCCCCACGAAAGACTAATTAGAAAGGTAGAAGCACATGGCATCAAAGGTGACATCCTTAAATGGATTAGGGCGTGGTTACAGGACAGGAAACAGAGAGTGAGCATTAACGCACTAAGTCCCATTGGAGCAACGTCACAAGTGGTGTTCCCCAAGGCTCAGTACTTGGACCATTATTATTTATTATATACATAAACGACATAGATATCGGCATAGACAGCAACATAAGTAAATTTCCTGATGACACTAAAATAGGACGTGTTATTAAATCTGACGAGGACTCGGCAAAACTACAGGAAGATCTAAACAAATTTTTCGAATGGTCTGAAAAATGGCAGATGAAATTCAACGTCGACAAATGTAAAGTACTCAGTATAGGAGATGTAAACAGGGAAACCAGATACCAGATGGACAACGATGCCATAGAGAAATCCGACTGCAAGAGAGATTTAGGAGTAATGATAAGTAGGAACCTTAAACCAAGTAAACAATGTGTTTGTGCTCGTAACAAGGCTAATAAAGTACTTGGGTTCATACAAAGGAGTGTTAGTTACAAGACTAGCGAGGTCATCCAAAAACTGTATCTTGCTCTTGTCAGACCACACCTGGACTACGCAGTTCAGTTCTGGTCACCGTATTACAGAATGGATATAGAATCCTTGGAAAGAATTCAGAGGAGAATGACAAGACTAATCCCGGGCATTAAGAATCTTGAATATAGAGACAGGCTATAGCATCTTAATTTGCACTCCCTCGAAAGACGTAGAGCGAGGGGCGACCTGATAGAGGTGTATAAGTGGAAGGCAGGGCTAAACAAAGGGGACATTACAAAGGTACTCAAACTATCCAACCAGGAGCGAACTCGTAACAATGGTTTTAAATTAGATAAATTTAGATTTAGGCGTGAAATCGGTAAACACTGGTTTGGAAACAGAGTAGTGGATGAATGGAACAAGTTACCAAATATCATCATTAACTCGAATACGCTGAATAGCTTCAAACATAGGTTGGATGCTTATATGAGCAATAGGGGTTGGGTGTAAACGGGACTGCCCAGTATGGGCCAATAGGCCCGCTGCAGTTTCCTCCATTCTTATGTTCTTATGTTCACAGAAAAATGGTGGGCACCGTGGGCAAGACGTGTGTTACGAACCCACGGCCTTGCCGACGGTACGCAGGATGCCAAATCCACTGAACATTGCCCGTTAAAGTAGTACCTGTAAAAGAGAGAGTGAAGCAACATTGCAGGGAAGAGAAAGAGAAGAAAGACTGTCAACTAAAGGAGGAGAGTTAATAAGACGGAATGCCTTTGATTCCACCCTATCTAACGGCTGGACAGAAGAAAAGCCACCCCAGATATGAGAACAGTACTCCAAGTTAGGACGAATGAATTCCTTATATACTTGAAGCAACTGCTCATGAGTAAAGTAGCTACGGCATCTGTGCAGTATTTCCAGCTTTCGGGAGGCAGCTTTAGCAATGTTGAGGATGTGTGGCTTCCATGACATATTAGAGAAAATGGTGAGGCCTAGCAAGTCTATTTTAGAATTTGGCAGAATGATATCGTCCTGAAAATGTGTGTGGTGTACAGAAAACGCAAGAGGAATAACAGAAACCGACATTTAATTTCTTCCCGAACGATAGACAAAGGTAAGGCGATGCACGAAAAAGGACTTTATGTGACCTTTGTTATGTATAACCTTTTTTTTTGTGCTATCTTTTACTTTTACTTTTACTTTACTTTACTTTTATCTTCTTCACCAATGATCGGCTCGTTAGTCGCTTGGGCGATCGGTCACATCTCTGTTACCCATTGTTGGCAAATACTGGGAATGTACTGGTTCCTGAATGTATCAACCTGCTCCAGTGTTGGTCAAGTCTAGTCTTGTAACAGCTCACACTCGGTGCCGTCAGCTCCAGGTAAGGACACTTGACCGAGTAGTGTCCTTTGAGATGTTTATACACCTCAGTTAGGTCCCCCTTGTCCGTCTGTAGTATAAGCTAGGCAATTGCAGGCGCTCTAAACTCTCTGAGTAGCTGAGGTGCCGAAGTGCAGGCACCAATCTGGTGGCCTTCGTTTGGACATTTTCAATCAATTGTCAGTCCCTAGCTAATATTTCGGGGACCAGACGGAGTGACAGTACTCCAGGCGGGAAAGCACTCCACCCTTGAAGATCGTTACGAACTTAAAAGGCATAATTTAGTTGCCTGATTCACCTTAATTACAATCATTATTTTTTTTACATAAACTTGTGTGATGAATTTATTATTTATCTATCTGGGTGTCTCTATAT